CAATAACTAGAGATACAGGTATCTAATTAAAATAGCTATAACATACATGAATATTACTTTGACTATTTACATAAAATGTTTATTTATTTATTTGAACACACAAATATTAGTAAAAAGGGGTTACCTAATACATATGCGCCACACAAGTCACTTGATTTGTGTGTGGGCAGTGATACAGCCTGGGTACTCAGACCGAAGCAAATGGTTTTCTCAGGGGGCCACACCCATAGCTTTGGACCTAAATGTCTGATCCACAAGGCAGCGGAGCATCGTGAGGAGATGCAGTCCCATAGTATCGGTGACTGACGATTGGTTCATACGCCATTTGTTCCCTCAGGATACTGGAGCCCATGTGCACCATTGGTTTGGAATCAGGGTTTTCCAACTCTCCCAGGTGGAATTACCGTGTCCACCAACCCGGTTAAAAAGCCGAATATTCGCTTCTCGTCCTATCAATTTCGTAAACAACACCCCCGCCACGACAATAAGTTCTTCAAAAAGTTCATCTGATTTATAGAACTAACATTGAATAAAATAATGATTTGATATATGAAAGATCATTCGTGTAAATTTTCACTATTGACTATAGTTGACTATAATTTACAGGTATGTCAACTAAATTAATTCTAAAGAGAGCAAAAGCAAAGTTTGGTGTAGAATAATATGAATTCTTTAGGTTTATATCAGCTGCTTACAACCTATATTATTTAAAATCAACGTTGTTACAGATATTGAAATATTTATAAATATGAAGGTGATTAGAAATATATATCAAGATGTAGCGAAGATTCCAGTAGAGTTGATAAGGTCATTAAAAAAATTTCGCGTTTCGGATATATAAAGCCTGAAAGGGAAAGTCCTAGAACATTGAAGTACTTAATAAAATTCATATAGTTAACAAACGTTAGATGATTGTATAAAATAGTAAATCAAAACAGATTAATAGTAATAAAGAAAGCTATGAATTGGAATCAGTCAATTCGAATGAAATTTATAAATTCAAGAAAATGACAATGATGTAATCAAAACTTGAGAAAGTGTTGAAATACTGAATGATGCAATAAAAACAATGTAATGTTACAAGAGCAAAGAAAGATTTATTACTGTTTCTTTCAATTGGTGTCACCATCTTGAAATACCGACTTCGGTGGCTTGGACATGTTCTACGAATATTGTCCCAGAGAATTCCACGTCGTGCATTATTTGCCGACTGTGGGACTGGTTAGAAAAAGCGGAGAGGAGCTCAGTGTATGACATGGTGTCGTGGTATGAAAGAAAGCTGCAAAGGGCTAGCTTCTGTTGGTCCTTCATGACTCCCTGGCTGGGGTCCGAGAGATGGTGCAACACAGTGGCTAGAGACGTTATCAGATATGGCTCAGAATAGAAGCCAGTGGCGAGCCTGCTGTAACCTTTTTTTTACTTTCTTCATAAATAGTGGTTATAACTTTCTTAACTGAAAGAGCCTTCTGGTTGTACATTTCAGTCCCCCCCATCATTACTATTCTCTTTTTTTCTTCTTTTATGTATACGCATCTTCCTCCTTTCTCTTCCCATTCTCATTGTTTTGTGTGGCGCATATGTATCTTCCGGTGCCCCCCTTCAGCAAATTTAGGAGGATTGAAGTACGATTGTTTATTAATCGCCTTGAAAGAATTCAGTGTATCCACTTGATGTCCTACATCAAGATGTTTCGAGATAGCACCGTTGAACGCTTTTAATCCCCTTGACCCTAGACGATTTGGAATGTGTTCTTCGAATCAGACATAGGATCTACTTTTTGTTCCACCAATGTAACTGCTTTGACAGATACATGTGAATTTGTATACACAGTTGATGGTAACATGAAGGAGATACTTATTGATCTTTGATTGTGGTAAAGAACATGTTGTTTTGGACAAGACAATCAATTTAGCTAAAGTTCTTGACAATACAGTTTTTAGTCTTATTTTGATTGACTCTGTTACATCATCAATTTTGAAATTAGGTTGAATAAAAATAGGTTTCTCGTTTACTGTAATTTCTTTGAGTTTTTCTATCTTCACCTTTTCCGTGGAACTCGTTATTCACTTTTACTTAACTGATATCAAAATCAAAATTTAAATGATCCCTTTGGTGAAGATGAATCGACAACGTATAACTCTTAGGAAAATACAATAAGGTCTTCTTACTGAATGAAAAATTATCCAAATTATGATGCAGCTAAAATGTTCTATGTTTTATGCAAATCACTAGACGATTAAATACTTCATAGATGTTTCATATCAAAATTAAGATTAAATACAGTCTCAATTCTTGTAACCAGTTCATGTACGAGTCTGAATGCATAAAAGAATTGATAACACCCGCCTCGACCCTCAATATATATAGCATTTAAAATAAAAACTGATACCCTTGGTTACACAAATAATCGAAACCATTCAAAAGTCACGAGACGCTGCGTATTAACGTAACACTAACTCTCCCACGTAATACATTGTTTGTTAGACGGCTATTTTGATCTGATTTGCTGTATTTTTTAGTTTATTACTTGATAGGACAAATACCAATATTAATTCAGTCAATATACTTTGTTCCAAACGATTTAAGTCAAAGTGAATAACATACTGGAGTCATTTTAATTTATTCATTTGTTGTTTTTCAGTTCTATGGGTCAGCAGAGACATGTGAATGTATATTCTTTCATTGAAAATTTGCTTAAAGCAATAAATAGATGAGTTACAATATGGTATTTTGTAAACTCTGTTATTCTAAACTTATTAGTTAACGGAAACTCTGGAATAATTTCATTTATATCTAAAGAAATTCGTTTATTTACAAGATGTACATTACGATGGAACAGTTATTTCTTTCTTCCTTGTTTTTAACGATTAACCTACTAAATTCACTTCCTAATGTAAACTAAAAAGCTCTCTAGGATGTCCATTCATGTCTAGTATTAGAAGTATAAATAATGAGGAAAATGTGTAGGTCAAACGAAAAATTGGTTGATATGATATTCTTTTCTGAATTGAACAATTTAATATTGAAACTTTCATCATTTGTACGAAGTTCAGAAATAAATGAATCATTAAAATCCTATCTACGAATAACCAATAGATTGTATTGTCAATATTGGAAGTGGGTAACTGTCATCAGTAATTACGTTGCAACAGTTTATTCATATACTTTGATCGCTTTTTACTTGGGTTGATTTATAAATTTGTCGGGTGGTTTTAATCGTCCTTATCAACAGATCCATTGTATATCCAATGATTTAAATTCCAATCTTTGAAAACTTCTCTTGTTCATATTTTCAAAATCAATATCTCTGATATTTCAATTAGACATAGAGTCATAACACAAACATGTTTTGAATCAATCGCAATTGATTGATCACTGGGTGGTGATCAATGTCATGCGTGTCAAGTCCTTCTTAGTGCTGATCGAATGCTGACGAGTGCCAAGTAGCACGAAACCCGGGTCCAGGGTTTCTTGTTGACCACCTCCAACCACCATCTTATGGTTTGAATTAAATTTTTAAAATCCAACTTTAAATTTATGCCATATGCAATCAATAAATCGCGAATAGTGCGGTAAGTTACTGAAGACATGGCCATGATGCATCAAAAGTTGGATGAATTGAGAAGATATATATCACATGGTATACACTCAGTGGTTAGTATTTTTATTAAGGACGCCATATTTTATAATTCCGGGTTTCAATACTTTGTGAAGGCTTAAAAAGTCCTAAGCTGAAGAAATTATTAAGATCTTCTTTAGTTGTGATAGTTCTCCAACTGATTTTAGTGTGAGTGAGAATCATCGTTGAATAATAACAAAATTTTCAAAAAGCAATTTAAATAATCTTTTTCAATATGTGTCAGAATACTGAGATTACTAACTTGTATGTGGAAAGTATGAAGGTATGGAAGAGGCTTTACTAAAAAAAGTCAGTGCGCGTACAAAAAGCAATAAATTACACATGACCTTCAGATTTTAGAAGTCCCTAGAGAGTACTGAGTTGGCGACGACATTGATAGCTACATTGTCAGGATAATGAAAATATAACCCACTGTTTTCTAGGAAATTTCTACTGGTTTCTAAACAATGCTGGTTCATGGAAATATTTTCAGCATCGTTCTGGCTTCCGAAGAACGTTTTGAGGAAGTACTGAGGGCTCCCAACATTTTTATTACTGGTAATTGTAAGCAAACAAATTGATTCACTTTTATAAGTTTTCCACAATGATCGTATCCTGAAGAACAAAGTTAACCGATATCTCGAAAGAGGAGTTTTCCCAATAACAATCCTGCAATATTATTCTACCCAACGTATACTATTTCATTTATCGTCCAACATCCAAAGCTTTAACTCTAGTAACTCACTTACACTGACAAGTTTAAAATTGAGTTGAAACTGAGAATAATCCTAAATTCTATTAGTCCAGATAGTATTCCGTTTTCCTAACCCAGTCTTCCATCCGACAGTAGAATACGGTAATCAACAGTGTAGTAGCATACCTTATGTGCATCAATCCATACAACAATAAAGATTAATTTCCTAGTTGCGCATCAAAATGATCACGAAACCACAACATAGACAAAACTACACTGAAATTTGAATAGAACAGAGGAAAAAGGTGATTGTTTAAGAGTAACCATAATTAAAGAATAGAAAAATGCAGAGGAATAGTTAACTGGTTCACTGGAAGCTTACAGTTAACGGAATACAGAAATAAAGTAGTTCAATTATTCTTTAACTATACAATAAGAATATATATAATGATAGTTCATAAGGTAGTTTCGACAGTTGGCAAATGTTTAGTATTTATTCCTCCACAATACACTTAATTAGTACGTAAATCTTTCAATACTCAATTCACTTTAATGAACCAAGAATTCAAATAATATTGTTTTTTAATAATTCATATCAAGTTGTAAAAATCTCACTCACCGAATATTCTGGTTAACTGATGATTTCGATGGTGTTAAGCTGGATTGTGAACGCCATTGTAAATCTAAACGTGTGTAAATTCCACCCTGACACTAAATATTAAATTTTTTTAAAAAAAAGATAAGATCACTGTATGTATTTATAAACCCAAAATAATAAATAGTCATTTACTATAGTTGAAAGCGTGAGTCAATTGAAGCTAGACCACCATGGAAAACCTGGAAACACTGGACGGCCGTTTCGTCCTATTATGGGACTCCTCAGCAGTGCGCATCCACGAACCCACTCTCGCGAGCGAGATTCGAACCCAGGACCTACCAGTCTCGAGCCGAAGCCCTTAACCGATAGACCACTGAGCTGGCATCCAACGGTGTTAATGTCTAACTTCAACAGATCCACGAAGTTGAGCAACCATTCACCAATTGTCTTCAGTGAGTTCCTATCTCACAACAGACGTGGTTTTGAACTCCACTGGTCACTGCTTCTCACTAGAGCTCCTAGATATACTTCTCGAAGTCACTAGTGAGCATATGATTATATTAATTATAGAAGGGGTTTTGTGGAGACACTTTGATAAACGTAGAAAGTAAAAACCCATATTCATAATGACAGTAAGAAAGCATAATTAAAATGAAACAAAGAATTGACATCAACATATATTTTAAAATGTTATATAAGAATTGTCAAGAACCAATTCTTAATTTTATAGATGGTTTAGTTGTTCAGATTCCCCCCCCTTTGGTTATCTGTTAGCCGTGAATTTGTCACTGTTTTATTCACAACTATCAATTTATATTCACTGGAGCTTTTGTCTCACTAACCTTTTTCAGTTCTCACATATAAATACCCTAAAAAGTATGTGTGCGGTTGATTTGTTCAGAATATATAGCGAAAATATTTTACATTTTACAGATCGACTCTATCTTCTCATTTACCTGAAGAAATATTTGATTTTGTACTGTAACTAATAAACAGTTGATCGTCCTCTCGAACAATAAAAGGTACTGGGCAGAAAATATTATATATGTTTAAACATTAACGTTCAAGGCTGAAGGTCCTAGGTTTACATAGCTGAAGAGTCCCAAATTAGAACAAAACGATCGTCCATTGATTACAGGCTTTCAAGGGTTGTCCAAGTTAGATCCGTTTGTGATTTTGATAAAAATTATCTGTAAAACGACATCTTGTAGTGATTTTATTAATTATCTGTTGATTTTGGTTGACGTTCATTGTTATCTTTCATGCTAAATGGTACATTGATAATAATACAAACATGTGGGTTTATAATTCTACATTAGTAAACTGAAGATAGTTTTCGTCCTAGGTTAACAACAACTCCAGAACTTCTGGAAATCGGGGAGTGCACAACAGCTCAATTCCTCATTAGTACACATATACAACCTTGTGGTCTCTGAATTTCAAAGGTATATTAAATGGGACACCTATCACAAAGTGCCTTGCACAATCTTCGCGTGATTTTACAAACTGACTGAAGTCAAAAGTATTGAGTTGGTGGTTAGTAGGGATCATATCCTCTTTGAAACCTGAAGCTCAATAGTTTTTTTCTTGTGTGGAGTAATGGATGAGTGTTTCAGAGGAGTTTAAAGGAAGACTAAAACAGTGATTCAGTCCCTTCATGTTTTCACTATTTTTCAAGTGAAAATTAGTCCTTGACCGTGATCAAACTTCCAATTGAACTTATTCTTCAAAACTCATGACTAGGATCTTAGTGAGTGAAATTTAAAATCACTTAAGAGTTTCACTTAATAGTCTGGTTGGAACTTTTTTTTATAAAAATTGACAAAAATCAAAATTATTGAGTATAAATAGGGTTACAAAATTACTTGAAAACTAAACGACTATCCAATCGTAATAGGGTGTTGAACATAGCTTTTAAATCATGGATATATGTAATTTGATTTGAGGTATATTCAAATTGCAGTAAGCTAAAAAATGTCTACAATTATTGTATGCCTTACACACATTCGGACTCCGATTATTTTAAAACTATCCTTCAAAAACTAAACGAGACTTTTTATTAAATTGACAAACTCTGATCTCAGCTTTACTGTTTTGTTTCCATATGCAAGAATTAGAAACCACTCAATAGCTGCTTGACTAAGCATTATTTTTAAATTACCCGTCACATAGTGATTTAAAATAACACATTACTTAAAGACAGACAACCAGGGATATCCAACCATTAAACAATATGTTTTTAGTACTACTAATAGTACTGTGATCTTAAATTACTATTGACAGTAAGGAATGTTTGAAATTTTATAACTCAGGTGGAAAACGTTTGGTGTTATTGTGTCTTCTTAACAGGACAGCTTAATTGCACACCTTATATAGTCGTTCTCGATATCAACAGAGCATACTTCAAATGTTATCTGTTTCACAAGTGCCAAATTAGTCTATCCTTATGATCTTGTTTGTGAATAGGTGTCTTTACATTTTCTTATTATCTTCAGATTCCCGATAAATTGACCACTGATCATATAACCGATGGATGATAGCCACATTTGGTGACAACTTGAACATACATCGATATGTTTCCTAAATTTAAATGTACCTGAAATATATGCTCCTTACAATTTCTCCATCATTCTACAGAATTATTTTCTACAGAAACTTGGCATATTCACCTAAGTGTATTTATATAGGTCACTTCTGTCGTATATTTTAACTGCTAGTCTTCATTTGTGGATACTTAGGTGAACACACGTCTAGTTTGTACCTCGCAGTGTAGAACAAATTATTTTGCAGATAATGTTACATTAATCTTCTTATACTGTTGTTTCCTTCAGTTTGTACAAAATATAATAAAGCGATTACTGTTGATGTGCAAATAATTCTTGTTTTAAAATTCTTATGGATATTACTGAGATCTTTTTTTTATATTCACAATAAAACTATCTGTCTAGATTGGCAAACAAAATATCATTAAAAGAAAGAAGCTTTTGCATAGCTAGTTTAAATGCTTCGTAAGTTACTCATTGTCTTTCTAAATAATATCATCACCATATAGATCTAGGAAGAATATAGTGAAAACTTCAGAATCGAAACGTCTTTAAAATACTCTTTGATTGATCAAACTGAACTAGACCCAACAGTTTGTGAACCTGGGAACAAAGATTGAAAGTTGGATGCTATCAACATTCAATCAATTAAATGATTTATTTCATATACACATGTATTCTATGAATCAAGAAAATTGGTAAATTTGTAAATTGTATGACTGGAGTAATAAAATATAAGAAAAACTAACTTCTTTAGAAATTGTTATCTCGGAACACGTGGTTGTTGTTTGACGTTGTGCACATAGGAATTCAGTGATTTTTTGCATCCGACGTAAATCTATTTTCAGAAGGTAAGATCAGAATAGAATTAAGAAAAAATAACACATTAGGCAGAGAAATAAATTTTTTGATAAATTTAATATCTAAATATGAATAGTATTTTTTAGCATTTAACAGATCATCATTTCGTCCAGTTACTTCTCAGTTATACTATCCTAAGTAGGGGAAATAAACTCGAAAAATGGATTACAATAGTTATATAGAAAAAAGGGGCTGTAGCTATAAGTTGCGTCCTAAGACATCCCTGAGTGAACATCAACTCAGTCCCTTTCCTATCTGTTCCAGCCAGCCCATCAAAGCAAACGGTGATTGGGCACAAGTAACACATGTCCCAGATGTTCTCAGTTGATGAAGGTTCTTTACTACATCAATCGATTTACCATTTATATCTAGTGACCTGTTTCTGTCCTAGAAATTGCTTACTTTGTGGTCCCAAAACACACGAGAAATGCTTCATAGATGCCTATGATGGACTACCAGTAACCTACAAATGTCTTCTATTTGTAATGGTCATGTGTTACATCCATAAAGTAGAATGGAGCTAACTGCTACGCATTAGACTCTCTTTTTGGTTAGAAGACGAATATCTCGCCTACACGACAAGTGACAAGTTGGCAAAAGCCAGTCGGTCCTTCTAAATCTGTGTAGAGATTCCGTCAGACACTAGACAGTCAGGACTGATGAAACTCCAAAAATAATTGGGGCCGTTGACGTGTTTAACTACTTCACTCCCTGTCACCAATTCGGGCATTGACGCAAGTCAATCGTGAGGTGATATTTTGCATTTGGAGGGAGACAACCTCAACCCATACATGCTTGCATTGTTGCTTAAAGTGGTCAGAAGACTAAACTTTGCCAGTGCCTTCACCAGACAGAAATATATGATCCGCGCATTGTAAGTGAACAAGTGAATCTCCTGGTAAAAGATCGTTCCCTGAAAAGTCAGACGATGAAAGTGGTATCTGTGGAAGTATGTCTATAACAAAGTTGAATACAAATGGGGAAAGCGGATAACCCTGACGAATGCTACTTGAAGTGAGCGATTCAGATGACAGTTTTGCATAAGCTGTGACTCGACCAGTAGTGTTCGAGTAGAGAGCCTGTACGAGGTTAGTGTACTTGTTTTGTATGCCTTTGAATCACAAACTTCCACAAAACCTCACAATCAATAGAGTGGAACGCCGCCTTAAGGTTAGGAAATACAGCAATAGTCGGACATCGAAAGTTATGTCTTTGCTTCAGAACCTATCGAGAGATGAATATTTGGTCCATATATCTGCGTCTAGGTCTGAAAGCAGCTTATTTTTCTCTGATTCGCTCTTCACAAGATCTAGATAGACGTCGAAGTATTATTGAGATAAATATTTTAGACACTATATTGGTTAAGTTGATTTTTCTGTGATTGCCACGAGAGGATTTTTGTCTTTAGTCATATTCTTATAAACTCGAACGATCAGCGATCAAGATTAGTCTGATGAGAATACGTCTAGTTCCAAGATTTCAGATAAGATTTCGGTTAATCTAACTGCTAACACTGGACCACTGTCCTTAACAATCTCAGGGGTTAGTCCATCAGGCCATGATGCCCTCTCTCACTCTAAATTACTTAGTCTTTTCAACCTCAGTATGAGTTGGAGGACTTACATCAGTTTTCCATTCAGGTTGTTTGAGAATAGTGGATAATTTGAGTCTGGCTCAAGGCCAGTTTAACTTTTCCTTAAATTTCTCTGCCCATCGATCCAACCTCCTGAACTGAGAGTGAATAATCGTCCTGCCTTTTCCGAAATAGTGTCACTAACAACCGGATTTTTAACACCTGTTTCCTTAATGAGTCTGAACAGTTGTTTATTGTTACCCATCGCTTTTGCCTTTTCTATCTCTTTTGCTATCGCTACCTACCACTCCTCACGATCATTACGTAGGCTTTCCACCAGCCTACATTCAAGTTGCCTCCGCTCCTCATCGTGTTCTGAGCTAGAATGGGATGAATTTCCAAACATCTACTAGTTCTGTAGACGCTGATGAAATCCACCGACCTTTCATAACCATTTAGTTTAATTCACTAGTAGATGTCACTGTTGTTTCCACAGCACTTTGGATATCATACTAAGTTCCCTCGAGGTGGATGTCATTCTCACGGTTCACTAGCTCCTTCTCTAGCTGTTCCTGAAATACATGGGCTTTTTCATCATTACGTTTGACTCTAAGGTATAGCATTACCATAGAACAACCCAGTCTTGGTACTTATATGAAATTTATAACACACTTTTTCTCTTCCTTGGTCCAATGAAGCTTAACAAACCATTTTACTTATGAGAAGCGGTTTTTGTGGAACCACGTCTGTTGTGAGATAGAAACTCGCTGAAGGTAATTGGTGAATAGTTGCTCAACTTCGTGGATTGGTTGGAGTTAGACATTAACACCATCGGATGCCGGCTTAGTGGTCTATCGGTTAAGTGCTTTGCAGCGAAACCGGTAGGTCCTGGGTTCGAATCTCGTGAAGCGAGGTCGTGGATGCGCACTGCTGAGGAGTCCCACAATAGGACGAAACGGCCGTTCAGGGCTTCTAGGTTTTCGATGGTGATCTAGCTTCAATTGACTCACGCTTTCAAACATTTTAGTTATTGTTATTTTCCATACCTTTTCCGAGTTTATTCTTCATCCGTTATCTGAATACACTCCTAGGTCAAATTATTTAAAAACTTCTTGTTAGGTTGTTTTCGTGATTTGTGATAAATGTCGTTTTAATGTCCGTATTTTCCAAGTGTTTAACCTACTTCCTCTCATAAAACCTCGACTCAAGCCCTTGTTAAAATGATCACCCATCATCACAATATCAATGTTTACGTTTTAATAATTATGTTTAGTCTTTTAATCTATTTTGTTGTTATTACTACCTTATAAACTGCCTTGATTGGTTTAATAATTTTATTTTTAAATCTACATATCACCGTATGTTACCGTAAAGCATAATGTGAATCTAATTGGAAACATTATTTATCACCTATGTATGCTGTTTCAATTTACAATAGATGAATTTTTGATATTTTGAAAGCCGACTGATAGTTTGGTCTACATCTGTTAAATTAGTTGGTGTTACAGTCAGAGATGGTACCACTGACCTACTTAGTTGACAGCTAATCTGACAAATTTATACCCTCCATAAATCAGCTTTTATCAAATTCAACAAAAGATTTTTAAAATCAAAATGAACTAACCTTCTTGACGTTGATTATCTTGATTAATTCGATTACATTTTCCCGTGTCCCATACACGTTCATCCAGTGTTGATGATAATAACCCTTTGGAATGAATTATTGGTGTTAAACTATTGACTGTATTGTCATCATCTTTTGAATGGTTAATCTGAACTAGTTGATCTTCATATTTAGTCTCAAATATTGGTTCTACAGGTTGACTATTTATTGTCGCTTTAAACAACTATATATTAATGAATTGAATGAAACAATTTTATGTGTAAATTTGTGTATTTGAAATTTTGAAAAAAGCATACAAACAAAGACAGTTAAATAATTACAAAACAAACGGTAACTAATGAATAAGTGGAATCATAATAAGAATAAGAATAATAAGCCACTTTCAGTAAGTAATTACCGATTTTGTAAAATAACTCCGTTAAGTTTGTTAAGAATCACTCTGATAAAACGGCATTATCAGTGTGGGAATTTATGGAGATTGTACTATTTTCACAGTCGAAATCACGAGTTGATCCAAGCTAGGCCACCATCGGAAACCTGAAATCCCTGGACATCCGTTTCGTCTTAGTATGGGATCCAATCTGTGTTGGGTGTGCGACAGGCATCCACCTGAAGCAGTAGATTAAGGGTTGAGCAATATCATGGATTGGTTGAAGTTAGACATTAACACCGCTGGATGCCAACTCAGTGGCCTAGATGTTAAGCATTTATGTGCGAGACTGAAGTTACTGGGCTCGAGTCACGCGTGCGGAGTTGTGAATATTTGCAACTGAGGAGTCCCATACTATTGGCGAAACCGTTATCCAGTTCTTCTAGGTTTCCAATGGTTGTCTAGATTAGATCAACTCGTGATTTCAACCTTAAAAAATGATATTAGACATACTGCTTTAGCCTAAAGGTTCAATTAAATAATTATCAATTAAAGCATGGATTGGTTCGAAATTATTCTATTGTATCGTCTAAATAATTCTCTTGTGAAAACAACGTAAATTATGTATCCATAAACTTATCGTATTTTTGGTCGATTATAAATATTTTTAAGTAATAAATATATTTTTATTAAATATTAATTCACGCCAGTCAGATATCAGACTATATCTTTTGATATCCACATAAAATATTGAAGAATATAAGTATAATTGTTGTGCTTCAAGGTTTTCCATGGTGGTCTAGGTTCAACTGACTCATGATCTCAACTATATGGATAATTGAATTCACTTAGTATTGTTTGTTTGGATCTTCCCATCGATGTGTTTAGGACTGCAACTGGTCAGTCTCTAATTGGCATATGTGCATACTGTGCGTATTGCCTCGATATACCTTAATTCACAAGCATGGTAAGCAGAGATGGATAGTGGCTAGCAGTGGAATCCATGACGCGCGTTTCGTCCTATTTGGGACTCGTCAGCTGGATCTACCTGCATCTCAGAGTTGATGTTCACTCTGGGACTCGAACCCAGTACCCTCGCTTCAAACGCCATCGCGTTATCCACTCGGCCACTGAGTCCTGATAGCCACTTGCTTGTGCGATGGGGTGAAGTTTGAATTCACTTAGTATTGTTTGTTTGGATCCAGCTGACGAGTCCCAAATAGGACTAAACGCGCGTCCTGGATTCCACTGCTAGCCACTATCCATCTCTGCTTACTATATGGATAATTGTTGATAGTTTGCGTTGTTCAGTGCAATCCGTTTCTTATCAATACATCATTCTATTGACCACGGTTAAATTTCTCTCAGTCAGTCGATGAGGTGTAAAATTGTGAGATTTCAATAATTAAATCTTACACGAATCAGTAACTATGGTTTATTAAACAAATTATTACTGTGAAAATTACACAAACTTTACAGAATATATTATTATAACAACCGTAAAAGCCAGTACAAATGAAATAAGCAATTTAATTCAACAAAGCTTAGTTTCAACCTTTTAAATGATATCACCGGTGATTTGCTGGATTGAATAAACGCATGCACATAATCATTGATGCCTTCAAACCATTCGTGTATCGTCAAACAACCGAGTGATCAATGGTTAGTTTAGACATAGGATATTAAGTCGAAATGGCAAATCGAATAATGAGTTTGCAAATTTTCGTAGACTGAGGTGGTCGAAGCATGCATAAGATATACTCCAACACCACTTACTACGAGCTATAATAATAGTTGTATTAGAAGTAAGTTGTAAAAATGTTATGGATGGATAAATAAAAACATGGCCCTGTTCCATGAAGTCACTGACTGCTCGACTGAGTTATATGTATGAGTTCAGATAACCACGGGATAACCGTGATAACTAGTTGATGGCATAGAGACACATAGATCAGAATCGGTTACAATGACCCAGATGTATTCTCTTTTTGCTGTCATATAGATCACGAATTCCAGTATTCCTTCACTAATATCACTAAATTTTATCTTTTTGAACTATGTTATCAATGTTTAATTTCAATTGGATGACTTTAATTTCTTAATATTTATGCTTTCATTGGCCTCTGAAGTTATATCTTGGTATACCATCCTCAAATCCCTAATAAGTTGTAATTGATGGAAAGTCTCAAACTGTTTTGAGTTAGTCTTTCAGTTCTCTCAGGTTGCCAATGACTTTCTAACTGATATCTGTTAACGATGAAAATCATAATGTGTTTATGTAAATATTTCCATACTCTGGTATCAACCGATAAGTCAAAAAAAGCATGAACTATTTAATTGTAACAGGATCAAGCAGCTATTTTAATACCTCTCAGGTTTTTATCATTTGTTTGTAGTCAATGTAATTTTATAGTGTAAACTGGCTTATAATTAATCTGTCTTCATATAACCTATCCTAACTATATGTATGTATGAATGTATGAAGGAATACTGGAACTCGTGATCTAGATTATTATAGACAGTACATATATTTAGGTCACTGTGACTGCTTCTAAACGATGTCACTATCGATCGTCGCTAGCGAAAATAAATGATCCTTTGAAATTATTTACGTGAAATGAATAAATATTATTCAGTAGATGACTTACATTTGAAATTTCTGGTTTATCATATTTATCAGGTTGTTTATTCAAACAGGCTAAAAGTGTAAATGCTGGAGCTTTATAAACAAGTTCTTTATTACAAATAATTTGATTTAAATCAATTTTATGATTGTGTGAAGGTCCATTATTAATCATAGAATCAGATGAACTAATGTCGCTAAGAACAAAATAGAAAAAAAAGAATAATAAATTAAATATTTGTGAAATGTTCTTAAATTTTCTGATCTGATAATTAATTAAAGTAAATTGATTAGTTTCTGTGTAGATTTTTTGAAAGTTCATATGAGGAATTATGGCATACGTGTAGCGAACAAAATACGACTGGGAACAATCGAATGTATTAAGGCACAAATTACAAACTATCTTACGGAGATCTGATAACCACATTAGCCAACAGTAAATTTGCAAAATAACAATCAATTGTCTCAATCTTCACTGTTTCTTCTGTAAATATCAATCCATCTTCTCTAATTTCATTGTTTATGTATTTTCCTACCGATTGCGCCTCATTTCAGTTCTTTCCTTATCGGTCTTCTGCCAAAATACTTTCTATGTCTGACCATCATTATATACTACTCATATGGATATAAGTAAACCACACCACATACGGAGTCAATTCTATTGAAAATAAGGCAGTAGATATGAATGATTTACCAAGTGCGAGTATGTATATCTACTTAACTATGAACCAAGCTCATATTTAAGGACTGGTGGTACTAAGTGGCTAGTAAAACCAAGGTAATTGAGATATACTTCGAACCTGAAATGATAACAGTTAAAAAATAATACTTCAATTACTTAACAATTATTCCCCCCCAATGAAGTGGTAACTCATTGATAATATTAAATTAAGATTACCCTATAAGACAAAATGAGTAAAATTGAAAATCGCTGGATTCACACAACACAGATAAAAAATATTATGCGCATTTACTGTTATGCTTTGATGAACATCAGAAGGAAACACCAGTAACAAGCTCTAATGAATGTTGATGGTTTTTAGTTTAAAATAGTAGCTAACAATCTTTACATGTATGTGCGGAACACGTACATAAGGAGGAGCAATCGTGATCTGCAAATAAGGGTGGTGGAACACATACCTAAATGGCTGCAAAACCAAATGAATTCCAATGGTCAAATAAGATCACAGGATAGACAAACATCTTCCTCCATTGCGAAACGTTTGGTTGAAACTGGTCATAAGGTTGACATCAAATCAGCGTTTGTAGTGTTGTATAAAAGCCTGCAAGGACGTTTATTGAAGTCTTGGCTATACGGAAATTGAAACCCCCTTTATGTGTTCAAAAACAATTTGTTCTTACCCTTAACCTAAACTGGTAATATCGATTTATTATCCAGAGTGGTTATCAAGTTCTTTCTGTAAACTTTATTTATTTTCTTTCATTGTTACGACTTACCTTTAACCTATCTAGTTGACCTTTTAATTTTAATATGAAAATGTCATAACAAGTATATGTGTGATCAGATTGTTCGGAATGTATTGCGCTAATATATCACATAAAACTGATAAACTTCGTCTTGTGGAGAATTTAATATTTTCGCTGATGAAATCATGAGTCAATTGAAGCTAGACCACCATCGAAAACCTGGATGCCGGCTCAGTGGTCTATCGGTTAAGGGCTCCGGCTCGAGACTGGTAGGTCCTGGATTCGAATCTCGTGAGGCGGGATAGTGGATGCGCACTGCTGAGGAGTCCCAAAATAGGACGAAACGGCCGTCCAATGCTTCCAGGTTTTCGATGGTGGTCTAGCTTCAGTTAACTCATGATTTCATCAGTGAAAACTTCGTCTTCTCATTGCATTATCGAAATTTATCAAAGTGACTAATTGTTTTAAAATCTTTAAGCATCTATTTAATACATTTAGTTAGTTATACATTTAGTTATTTTTGTGGACTATACATCAGAAATAGGTGATATATGATTCATCTCACTTATTTTTGAAATCTTTATTGTAGACTTTGATAAATGCTCAAGTTTTAAGTAAGGAAAATAATCTTATTTATAGGGGTCATCTAAAGTTGGTTAGTAAATAATGATATAAACCTGTTAGCATTATCGATATCATCACAAACTCAGTATTTAAGCATAATGCAGAAAACTATTCAGCATATTACATTATATTTAGAAAAATATAGTTTAGATGTATACTATGCATAACATTTCAGCGGATTCTAGAATAAGTATACACTTAGCTAATACTAGAATTGAGTAAGAAAAGTAGAATCGATCAACTTATGATATTAAGCTGCAGACTAAAGAGTAGTTGTATTGGAATAGCCTCTATTAGAATACCTGGAATCTTTAGATCATGTGACTCAAGAAGTTATCAAACATAGCTCATTAGCAAAGTGTTTTAATTCTCTACTTTTTCTTTTGAAAATACAGTAAGATGCTCATTTTAAAAGGGATAAAATTTAACATTGTAGTATTTTTAGTTAAACTGTATCTATTTTAGTAATTAACATTTTATAATTATTATGTTAAACTGCCGTCTTTTATATTCACTTAATGTTGTTTACTTGTATCTTCCTGTTGTGTCCCGTGGAGAATTATGAATGGTAACTTTTAGGACCATTTATGGACCAATGTGATATGCAAATTTCTTATTGTATAATTGCTAAGTAACTAAACTATTCATATTCATGTTCCTCTTATTATAAGCTTTATTTTGACTTATAGACTATTATTATACGATTTACCATTATTGAGTTATCTCTAGTCCATTAATTACCGTTCCCCCTATTCACAGCCACATTTGACCAAATCTTGTACAAATGTTATTTTATATTTTATGGTACGATGTGGTCAGTTTGTTTTGCATATAAACCCAGTATGTTTGAGAATAATGATTCATATTACAGAGGCTGTTATTGGTGTTTTGGACTTAACTGACTGGGCTAGGCAGATAACAGGACTGATAAGTGCTCAAGACTGCTCATATGGTTTTTCGTGTATCATTGCTCTGATAGATAATTCACAGCTCTCTAATTGGCGGTCTTATAACGTCCATATATTAAACAGGGTACGTACGCACTCACACGTTATAACACTTCCCATTGTTATTTAGGACTGCAATTGATCAGTCTCTTATTAACATATGTGCATACTGTGCGTATTGCCTCGATATTGCCTGAAGTCAGATGTTTTATGAGCAAAGATGGATAGTAGCTAGCAGTGGAATCCAGGACGCGCGTTTCGTCCTATTTGGGACTCGTCAGCTGGATGTACCTGCATCACAGAGTTGATGGGTTCGAGTCTCAGAGTGAACATCAACTATGTGATGCAGGTAGATCCAGCTGACGAGTCCCAAATAGGACGAAACACGCGTCCTGGATTCCACTGCTAGCCACTATCCATGCCGTCTTTTATGTTTTCACAAAACTAGAACATTTGACATACTTTTTGATACCTCAATTATGAATAAGTAAAAATAAATTGATGCGTATCAACTATACAACTATCTGATAAATTTGCCAAGATTTTCAACTGAACATTCACAGATGAAATTGGTTATTGACCTATAGTTTTCTTTCAAGAAAAAAAATATATAAAAATTATCCTTACTTATTTTGATTAAATGATCGTTTAGTAGACCATGACATAATCATTTTACGATGTTGTATACATAATTTTGTTACAGGATCTGAACTATCTTCATTCAAAATATGTTCACCTCTGTGACATCCCTGTATATAAAATTTTAAAATGATAAATTTTTCAAAGTGTAATAATGATTTGTATTAGACTGTATATTTTTACTAAAGATTAGATTGGTTACGTGTCTAAACATCGTTAGATTTAGTTACGATTTTGACGTGAGGTACGATAGAAATATTTTTCTTTTTTTTTTTTGAAATTAAGGATTTATAACTTTATCTTAGTATCCAGTATACATTTTAGCTTTCTACAATTGCTTAGTGTATACCAGTTAAGTGATTTAAAGATCATATTATATAATCTTGTTCAATTCAGTAAATAATCCAAGCTCCTTAACGTCTAAATTCTACTATTATTGCATGGTGAAAAGACTAAGAGAGCAATGGGAAGTGATATTTTCAGACAGCGAATAAATATGTAAACAAGTAATATATATATATAATACTGGAATAATCTAGACCGAGGTATGTAGACAGTCTCCTGGACTAAGTGAATATTTCACTTGCTCATAATATCCCACCCAAACATCATACAGCTACCTGTGGCCTTGTGACACTATGTGACCTTTTTAAGCTCATATCATGATCTTTATGAACTAATCAATTTTAATGCCATCCAACTAAGGTGAGGATGAGAGCGTACCTTATCGATAAAATTATTTGGGGATATTTCAATATCCTAAATTGACTGAAGTTAAAAATTTGGGTTAGTAGATTTTAAAACAGTTACTTAAACTTATAATGCTTATTGATTGACCTAGATAAATTAGGTTCAATCCCATTTAAATTATCGGAAAGACAATTCCGTTTTAGCTTATTTTAATACGTGATGAAAATTATACTGAAATAAAAATGAGGAGAATCCAGCGAAGTAAATTTTCTTTTCGACGAAATCATTTACTTAATCTGTATATTCGTATGCAAAGTTGTTTGGTAAATATATATCCATAGAAATATAGAAAAGATTGCATCATTGTCGATGGTAACTTGACGCCAAGACAACATCCTGAGAAAGCACCGACAGTTCCATAAAAACTTTTTATGAATGTCGAATTAAAAGGAGATACGGCTGCCAAAAATTCAAAAGCTGAATAAAGCCCATTCAGAAAAGCTTTGTATTGTTTTCTCAAGCCATCCTATCATCCATGGATGTACCAAGAATAAATTACTTCTTTGGGCCACATCGATGCGCATCTATAAATTCACATGCTGTTGTGAGGCAGGTTACAATGGCCTCACTGTGCAATCACTTTCCAAACGCATCTCAGAATATTATCCGGAGTAGCTTTCAAAAGCGAATGCAAAACAGTCACCAGTTCAATACAGAAGGACCAAATCAACTCTGGACACGTCTCTCCAAAAGAGTCTCCCTTCAACATAATCTACATTATCAAAGAAAATGGATCTAATGAGGGGTGAATAAAAGATTTATGCACTACGTAGGCGTGGACGATCCACCAGTTCAAGCCCAAACTCTAAGTACAAAAACTTCTCATTTCTCCTTGCTCCTAATTCTCTTCTATAACATGTTCCAGTCTTGTTTTATTTTCATTACTAATGTTTTGAAATTCTAAACAGTAATCCGTTATTATAATCCTTTCACAACTCTTCATGATTATTTCTAACTTTTCTTCATATCTGTCAAGCGAGCAATAATCTTTCATAATTCTGACTCATTAATTATTTTCATTCTTCTATTCTTCTCTAGTCCCCTAATTATTACGCAACCTAATTTGAGATTTGGAATCTCGAGCCACTTTATGATGTCATCTCTTTTATCTTTCTATAAGCTTAGATATTTATCAAACAACTATAAATACGAATGTAAAGCTTAAGTAAATGATTTCATCCAGGAGAAAATTTTCTTCACTAAGTTATCTTTACTTTTATGCAATGGCAAAATGGATTATTTTAATTGCGGTTAAATTATATAATGAATCCTTATTCAATTGGTAGTTTTTTCGACCAGATTTTTAATTTTCATCAAAATTATTTTGATATCTGCTAACAGTAATATTTTTTTCTAATTTTGCAGGTTTCTATTTAGTACAATCATTAGTAAATTAACCTAATGAACAACGTTTCATATTGTGTATTTTTCGATGATGGTCATTAACTATTCAATTACTTTTTATGTCAAGATGAAACTTTATATAGTTGAAATCATGAGTCAACTGAAGCTAGACCACCATGGAAAACCTGGAAGCACTGGACAGTCGTTAAGTCATATTGTGGGACTCCTCAGCAGTGCGAATCCACGATCCCGCCTCACGAGATTCGAACTCAGGACCCATCAGTCTCGCGCGCGAGCACTTAACCACTAGACCACTGAGCTGGTATCCAATGGTGTTAATGTCTAACTTCAACCAATCCACGAAGTTGAGCAACCATTCACCAATGTCTTCAGCGAGTTGATAATGATGATGAAGATGGAATTTGTCTCATCGTAACAATATGTATAAGTTCCGATTTGTTGTAGACTTCTTTTTTTAAACAACAATATAATAGTAATTACCTGAAGAAATATTTCATTCATTATCAACAAACAAAATATAAAACAAAAACAAATCGAAAACCGGATTAATTGAGTTAATTTATCATTTGCCCAGATGTTTCATCAAAACGATAATCGACATCTTAATTATATCTTGCTATAGGAACCTACAATCATGTAGAGAGTTTAGGCATGAAATCATTAAACTTTATTTATTGTTAACACCTCCAAAATAAGGATTTTTGTATATTTTATTTACTTATTATTTATTACTAACAAATAGTAGTATCGTTTTCAATAATTACTTCATCGTATGATGATTGTAGCTTATTGATTAGAACTTATTACTTACTTACTACTTACTTACGCCTGTTACCCCTCGTCGAGGAGCATAGGCCGCTCACCAGCATTCTCCATCCAACTCTGTCCTGAGCCTTCCTTTCCAGTTCTTTCCAGTTACTATTCATCCTTTTTATATCTGCTTCTACTTCCCGGCGTAGTGTGTTCTTTGGCCTTCCTCTTTTCCGCTTCCCTTCCGGATTCCAAGTTAGGGATTGAGTCGTGATGCACATTGGTGATTTCCTTAATGTATGTCCGATCCACTTCCAACGTCTTTTCCTAATTTCCTCTTCAGCTGGAAGCTGGTTTGTCCTCTCCCATAAAACGCTGTTGCTGATAGTATCCGGCCAATGGATGTTGAGTATTTTGCGTAGACAACTGTTTAGAAATACTTGTACCCTCCTGATGATGGTCGTAGTAGTTCTCCACGTTTCAGCTCCATACAGTAGGACTGTCTTGACGTTCGTGTTAAAGATTCTGACCTTGAAATTAGTTGAGAGTTGTTTTGAGTTCCATATGTTCTTCAATTGTAGAAATGCTGCCCTTGCTTTGCCAATCCTCGCCTTTACATCTGCATCCGATCCTCCTTGTTTATCAACGATGCTCCCCAGGTACTTGAATGTTTCCAACTCTTCCAGAGTTTCGCCGTCAAGTGTGATTGGGTTGATGTTCTCCGTGTTGCATTTGAGAATCTTGCTTTTTCCTTTGTGAATGTGGAGACCTATCGATGCGGAGGCTGCTGCTACATTTGCTGTCATCATCTGCATTTGGTCGTGTGTATGAGAGAGGAGGGCTAATTCATCTGCGAAGTCCAAATCATCTAATTGATTCTGAGCTGTCCATTGTATTCCGTATTTCCCTCCAGATGTCGAATTCTTCATAATCCAGTCAATCACTAGAAGGAAGAGAAATGGGGAGAGTAGACAGCCATGTCTGACTCCGGTCCTTACTGGAAATGCATCTGTCAGCTGTCCTCCATGCACCACTTTGCACTGTAATCCATCGTATGAGTTTTGGATAATGTTGACGATCTTCTGAGGAACTCCATAGTGTCGAAGAAGTTTCCATAATGTTCTCCTGTCCACGCTGTCAAACGCCTTTTCATAGTCAATAAAGTTGACGTATAATGATGAGTTCCACTCAACTGATTGTTCAACGATGATCCGTAGTGTCGCAATCTGGTCTGTGCACGACCGATCCTTACGGAATCCAGCCTGATGATCCCTTAGTTCGGCGTCTACTGCGTCTTTCATCCGATTCAGCAGCACTCTGTTGAAAACTTTTCCTGGTACTGATAACAAACTGATACCTCTGTAGTTCTCACATAGGCTCAGATCTCCTTTCTTTGGTATCTTGATGAGATATCCTTCTTTCCAGTCCGTTGGCACTTGTTCCTCTTCCCAAATCTTTTTGAATAGAAGGTGAAGCATGTTTGCAGTTATTTCAATGTCTGACTTCAGTGCTTCTGCTGGTATATTGTCAGGTCCTGCCGCCTTCCCACTTTTGATTTATCTGATGGCCATCTTGACATCATCGATCGTTGGTGGAGTGACATCTATTTGAAGGTCAGTGTGGGCTGCTTCGATGTTCGGTGGATTCAATGGGGCTGGTCTGTTTCAGCAGTTCCTCGAAAGACTCTGCCCATCTTTTCCTCTGTTCTTGAATCTCAGTGATTGTCTTTCCTTCTTTGTCCTTGACTGGTCTCTCTGGTTTGCTATATCTCCCTGCCAATTTCTTCGTTGTATCATATAGTTGTTTCATATTCCCTTCTCTTGCAGCTTTTTCCGCCGTCGTTGCTAGTTCTCCCATGTATTTCTGCTTGTCGGCTTTAATGCTTTTCTTCACTTGCTTGTTTGCTTCTGCGTAGTCTGCTTGTGCTTTGACTTTCTCTGCTCGTGTTCGGCTGTTGTTAATTGCTAGTTTCTTGTTCTTCCTTTCTTGAATTTTGTCCAGGGTTCCCAGAGAGATCCATTCCTTGTGATGATGTTTCTTAGGACCAAGAACCTCCTGACACGTTGAAGTTAGTGCTTCTTTTATCCCTTTCCAGTTGTCCTCCAAAGTAGTTTCTTGTTCTTTCAGTAGATCCTGTAGAGCTTGGAACCTGTTGTTGAGAGTTATCTTGAATTCATGGAGCTTGTCAGCATCTCGAAGGAAGGTTGCATTAAACCTTTGTAGTGCTGTTTGTCCAGTTGTCCAGTCTTTCTTTAGCTTCAGTCTCATCTTGGCCACAACCAGGTGGTGATCTGAAGCTTTGTCAGCTCCTCTCCGGGTTCTCACATCTTCCATTGATCTTCGGAATTTTTTGTTGATACAGATGTGATCAATCTGGTTCTCTGTGGTGTGGTCCGGTGAGATCCATGTAGCTTTGTGTATGCGTTTGTGTGGGAATATTGTGCCGCCTATAACCAATTTGTTGAATGCACATAGGTTTGCAAGTCTCTCCCCATTTTCATTTCTTTCTCCTAGTCCATGTCGTCCGATTATATCTTCATATCCTGTGTTGTCCACTCCAACTTTAGCATTTAGATCTCCCATCAGGATGGTGAGGTCCTTTCGTGAGCACTTTGCTACAATTGATTGCAGCCTTTCATAGAACTGATCTTTATCATCGTCCTTGCTATCATTGGTGGGTGCATAACATTGGATAACGTTCATTGTGATCCCTTGCTTCTTTGTTCTGAATGATGCTTTGATTATCCTGGGTCCATGAGATTCCCATCCCACAAGTGCATTTCGTGCTTCTTCGGACAGCATTAGAGCAACTCCCTGAGTGTGTGGAGCATTTTCCCCTTCGTGACCGGAGTACAGCAGCATCTCTCCTGTACCTAGCCTTTGTTGTCCAGTTTGTGTCCAATGGGTTTCGCTGATTCCGAGTACTGCCAAGTTGTATCTCTTCATTTCCACTGCTATTTGGCTGGTCTTTCCTGTCTCCCACATTGTCCGGACGTTCCATGTACCTATAAAGAGTGTTGCTCTGGTTGTTAGAAGGTGCATCGGTCTCGTGACTTCCGAAGAATTTCGGCTTTCATCATGAGACGTCATTATTCCTTCAACTACCAGGGCAGAGTTTAAATGGTTTGAATTATTTTTTCTGGTTAGCGTTTTTTAGCGAGTTAGCTTTTCTACGGGATGGGGTCGCTAACCCCATGCCCAACCCTCCTCCTTTACCCGGGCTTGGGACCGGCAGTAACTCTAGAAGAGCTACAGGCGGAGTTGATTAGAACTTATGATCACCTTAATTAAGGTAAATAATTCTTTCTTAAAGCAATGAGTCCCTTTGATAAATTTCGATAGTGTACTAGGAAGGCGACGTTTATCAGAACAATGTGATGATATTATTAAAGCGATACATTTCGAACAATCTGATCACACACATACTTGTTAAGAACATTTATATATAAAAATAAAAGGTCAAGTAGACTGGAAATGGGGGGCAAGAGTAGACAAGGATAATAACACTGATAAAAATAATAAACCAGGGTAGGTTCAAGGTGAGAGTAAATTGTTTTCACGTTATTATTATTATTATTATTATTATTATTATTATTATTATCCCTGTCTACTCATATGCCCCATTTCCAGTCTAGTTGACCTTTTATTTTTATATATAAATGTTCTTAACAAGTATATGTGTGATCAAATTGTTCGAAATGTATTGCGCTAATAATATTATCAACTTTAATACTTTGTTGACTGTAACATAATAATTTTGGAATTATCACGGTAGAGTCTAGATGAAGAATTTGGTGGAAACGATTGCTCGCGCCAATATTCTTTATTTCATGCAGTTAGTTCCCTTTATGAATTTAAATAAAGATAGAACAAATATTGATGCAGAATAATATGAATTCATTATATTTCGTGGTTTCTCATCAGCTGCTTACAACCAAATATGCATTAGAGTTTTAGCATTAGGGTAATAAATAGAATGGAACAACTGACATAAGGGAATGTAAAGGATTGGAATAACAAAAGTCATCGATGATAACTATATATATATATATATATATATGGGCAAGGAAAGGTCAGAGGTTATTAGGTATTAGAATAAAGGGTAGCATAATAGTTGAGTGGAGTTCAGAGACAGATAAAATCAAAATGTGATTATGTTAGAGGTAGTTGAAAACAATTAGGGTGGGATTACGTAATGATTGAATAATTTATAGACGTAGTTGAAAAAACAATTAGGGTGGGATTACGTAATGATTGAATAATTTATAGACGTAGTTGAAAACAATTAGGGTGGGTTACGTAATAATTGAATAAGATTTGGATAGTTCATATAATTAGGAGTGACAAATGAGCGGAAATGTGTGAGAGAATGAGTGGTTTAAGAATTGGGTATAAAAAAAAACAACAGAATATTAACCAAAATTGAACTAATAAAAAAAAAAAAAAAAAAAAAACTGAAACAAAACAAAAAATGGGTTACCAAGGTAGTAATAAGTTTATCACTGTCTCTTTTTGAATACATAGGTCCGGTTTGAGTTTTTTTATCGCGATCGCCTCAGCAAACCGGAGAGCCCAATTCTTAAACCACTCATTCTCTCACACATTTCCGCTCATTTGTCACTCCTAATTATATGAACTATCCAAATCTTATTCAATTATTACGTAACCCACCCTAATTGTTTTCAACTACGTCTATAAATTATTCAATCATTACGTAATCCCACCCTAATTGTTTTTTCAACTACGTCTATAAATTATTCAATCATTACGTAATCCCACCCTAATTGTTTTCAACTACCTCTAACATAATCACATTTTGATTTTATCTGTCTCTGAACTCCACTCAACTATTATGCTACCCTTTATTCTAATACCTAATAACCTCTGACCTTTCCTTGCCCATATATATATATATATATATATAGTTATCATCGATGACTTTTGTTATTCCAATCCTTTACATTCCCTTATGTCAGTTGTTCCATTCTATTTATTACCCTAATGCTAAAACTCTAATGCATATTTGGTTGTAAGCAGCTGATGAGAAACCACGAAATATAATGAATTCATATTATTCTGCATCAATATTTGTTCTATCTTTATTTAAATATTCTTTATTATTGTCTTCTTTTTAGCATAAACGACCTGAAGATTGTTCAGTTTTTCATTAAACTGACATTCGAAATTAAGTCAGTCAATTAGTCGGTTATCATTAAGAACAAGAACACAGTACGAATATATATCTGACCACGTTGCTTTATCTCACATCAGTATTTCTTGCCATAAAGTTCAATATTGATAAACTGATGAAAGTTATTAAAATATGACAAGTTTCTAAGAATTATATTTTGATTATTTGGTTTATATCATGAGTTGATCTTGGCTAGACAACTGTTCGAAATCAAAGAGCACTGAACAGCTTTTTCGTCCTAGTATGCGACTTCTGATCAGTGAGTATTCACGACCACATCAAGGATCAAACCCAAAACCTTCAGATCTCACTGTGAGCACTTAACCCTCAGAACACTGAATAAGCATCTAATGTTTGACATCTCTATCTTCAACCAAAACCAACATATTGCTATCTTCTAATATCGTTGATAGGTAGCTGCTTCACAACTAAAGTTGCTGAACTCTGCTGGTCACGACTTCTAGCTATAAAATTCACCAATCTCCAGAAATCACTTATACTCATTGTTTACTTGTTCGATAATTATATTTAAATGCAGTTTTTCATTTTGTCGATGAGAAAAATTCAGTACATAATTAGTTTAATTCAATGTTTCAATAAGCGAAATATTATTCTCCAAATAAACATTATGTTGTACTCTTTGGGGTTTTAAACTTACAGTTTGAGTCGGGAATAAATTGAATCTTGATAAGCCAGATCCACAACATGGATAGATAAAATCAGGTTTATTATGCCTGAAAAAAACGAATTATATATGTATTTTAGATTCTCGTCAGTAAACTTTAGCAAATATTTATATTTTGATTAAAGTCGTATCAAGCCAAACCTTTTACGAAAATAATTCATTAGCTAGCTGATTCGTGGATATTAGCCCACTTAGAAGATACGTTTACATTACAAATTGACTTCAGTTGAGAAATCATTTATAACTAGAAAGCACTAGGCAGTTTTTTTTTGTTCTAATATACAGCTCATAATTTGTACAAACATACAACTACACATGAAATTGAAGGGTAAGAACTCCATATCCGGCAGTAAGCAGGATACTGTTGTATCAATGAGTAAGAATCAAGCTGTTAATTTATATGATGGGATTAAAAAGTAAAAATCACACTCTTTTACTCATTTTAGTTTTTGTTCAACATTACTTCCCTATGTATAATTCGTTGTGATAATTACTTAGTGTAGTATTTGTGTTTGATTACCAGTGTGATATTTCATTCGGTATAACATTAATTTATTTGAGTGTCATGTCTATTCAAGATACGATATTCTTATATTAAATTACCATGAACTATGCACAGCATGAAATTCAGCATCTGATCTGTTATAAATCTGGGTATATTTCGTATATGTGATTTCATCCTAATTATTAAAAAAATGGGTGTATAATCAATATACGATGAACGTAATTTTGACTAGGGTAGCTGTGTTTTAGGGTTAGTAAACCTTCATTTGTACCGGTTTTGGTGTTCGCACATTGTATCGTAGGAACTGCAGTGGTTCCTCGTTTTACAAGCAGAAGTAATAAGCGATTTCGATACAACAATGAGCGACGACTAGACATAAAATCAACATTTTCAGGTGATAAGTCTGTCAACTGAACTCTTATACGCTGACTTTGTAATCACCTCCTTGTCTTTAAAGATGTTTCACTTTTGAACCCAGAATACGAAAACAGAAGATACGAAATATAAAAGAGAATTTTTTTGAAAAGGTTAGATTATGTACAACCATGATCAGTTGTTTACAAGATGTATCTTACAAGATCCAATAGTGACAACTAGTCAAATTATTTTTAACATTATCCGAAGTGCAACGATATTTCAGACTGCATTAACTTGGAATCCTGAAGGAAAACGAGGAAGAGGAAGGCCAAAGAACACACTGCACCGAGAATTGGAAGCATCAAAAGACATCAAAATAATGAATAACAATTAGAAGGAACTGTAAATGATTTTCCAGGAAAGAGCTAGATAGAGAATGCTGGTGGGGGGACTACGCTCTTCCACAAAGGTTGACAGGCATTAGTAAGTAGGTTTAAATGAACCAAAACATAGTGTACACTACTATATCGCAAAGTTAACTGATATTCTAAAGATATCATGATGTCTTTGGAGGGTTAAGCAAAATGAGCACTATTTTATCCGAATTATACTGATGACTGATAAAAATTGAACAGCATCAGTAGTGCTTTTTAGAAGTTGAAACAATTGATGTACTCTTACAGTCAACTCAGTAATCAAAAACCAGATTTCTGTAGTAGATATTTCAGTTCAGTCGCAAAGTGTTTTAAAGTCGACACTCACTTTATGACTTAAATTATATTTTATTATATATACAAATATTACTCACCTTGATAAGCCAGTATTAGAAATATTTGATTCTGAATGTTTCTTTGATAATAATTCATGAGGTTTAGCATTTATACAATGAAATTTGATATTTTCTGGTTTTTTAAATGCAGACGTAAATCGATTAATACTGGAAATATCATCATATTCATCACCAAGTTGGCAGTTATCTAGACCAGTTGATAGTTCGTTTTTCACTGAAACAATATTATTAACTAATTGACTTGATTGAACAGGTATGGGTGTCATTGTGTGATAGAGACAACCATCTCCTAATTCAATTATAGGAAATTGTTGACCACAACGTTTGCATAACTAGACATTTAAAATAAATACAAATGAAATAATCTGTCAACAATAACATGAATCAAGGAAGCACGAATGTATACAAGGTTTGAAGTTAAGCGAAGTGTTAAAAGGACAATATGAATTGGAAAAACTAATTTTTTTTTACAAAGAATGAATATATACGGAATAATGAGGATAATCACAATACATAGATATATCATTACAATTCGGCAGAATTTACTAGAATATGTGAAGGTATTTAACTAAAGATAAACTGATATAAACAAACACAAAGAAATAGATGTAAAGTATTATTCAATTATTTAAAATAAAACAAAAGTTCAACTCCTCCTGTAACTCTTCTAGGGTTAATAACGGTCCAAAGGCCACAAAAAGGAGGGCCCGCAACTCTATCCCATAGAAAACAATCTTGCTAAAAAGCGCTCACCAGAATAAACCATTTAAACTCTGTCCTACAAGTTGGAGGATCTTTATTCAGAAGAATTATTACGCCTCATGATGAAAACTGAGTTTCCCCAAAAGTGACGAGACCAACACCCCTTCTAACAACCACAGCAACATTTTTTATAGGTACGTGGGACGTCCGGACAATGTGAGGGACCGGGAGATACAAATTGGCGGTTCTCGGAATCAGCAAAACCAATTGGACCCGAGCTGGACAATTAATGTTAGGTATAGGAGAGATACTGCTGTACTCGGATCATGAAGAGTAGAATGCTCCACACACGCGGAAAATTGCTCTGATGCTGTCCAAAGAAGCACGTAAAGCACTCATAGGATAGGAATCTCATGGATCCAGGATCATCAGAACATCCTTTAAAGCAAAGAGCGAGGGAATCACAATGAATATTATCTAATGTTTGCACCCACTAATGATAGCAATGACGACGATAAAGATCAGTTATATGATAGTCTCCAATCGATCATAGTGAAGTGCTCATGGAAAGACCTGACAATGCTGATGGAAGACTTAAACCCCAAAGTCGGAATGGGAAACACCAGGTATGAAGACATCATGGGACGACATGGAATGACTAGGAGAACGAAACAAGAATGGTGATAGATTCGCAAATTTATGTGCATTCAACAATTTGGTAATAGGCGGCACAATATTCCCACACAAACGCAACCACAAAGCTACATGGGTCTCACAGGACTACACTACGGATAACCATATAGATCATATGTGCATAAGTAAAATATTCACTAAGTCAGTGGAAGATGTGAGAACAAGGAAAGGGGCTGACATAGCTTCAGATCGACACCAGCTGGAGGTTGCCAGGATGAAACTAAAGCTAAAGAAGTGTTGAACCACTAGACAAACAGTATTACAAAGGTTGAATACAGACTTTCTACGAGATACTATTAAACTCAACCAATTCAAAACACCTCTCAACAACAAGTTCCAAGCCTTACAGGATCTACTGAAAGAAGAAACTACGATAGAGGGGGAAGAACAAGCGCCAAAGGACTGGGAAGAAAGATACCTCATCAGGATACCAAAGAAAGGAGATTTGAGCAAATGTGTAAACTACAGAGGCATTATATTACTGTCAGTAGCAGGAAAGGTTTTCAATAGAGTGTTGCTAAACCGGATGAACGGCTCAGTAGGCGCCCAAATTCGAAATCAACAGGATGGATTCCGTAAGGATCGGTCGTGCTCAAACTAAACCGCGACTGTGAAGATAGTCACGATAAACTTTTTTCAATTATAAATAAACAATGTATTTGTAATATTCCAATGAGTAGAAAAATTAGCTTTTCTGACGTTTCGTGACTCAGTGTAAGCCACTTCTTTAGAGTATAAAAAAAGAGTCAAGCTCACGAGATGGGCGATGGCAAGCTCTCTTAAAGACGTATCAGCAGAAAAAGTCGCATCGGTATTTCTTGATCGTTGATTATCGAATTATGGAGTCCCATCAATTGTTAATACAGACCGTTGTTCCCGATTTCCATCTATCCTAATTCAGGAATCTATCAGACTTCTGGGAGTGAATCACATAAAAACAACAGCTTACCATCCACTAGGGAATGGCCTAGTTGAGAGATTTCACCGCCAACTGAAAAGCGGACTGATAGCACAAGTTTATACATCGAAGTGGAGAGGCGCACTACCACTTGTACTCCTGGGAATTCGTTTAACTATCAAAGAAAATATTGGTTGCACATCAGCCGAACTAGTTTATGGTACAACTGTAATATTACCAGGACAACCAGTCGACCCAGACACAACAATGTCAACTGATCCAATTCGTTTTGCGAGCCACCTATCTCAAACAATATAATAAGTTAAAGCAATTCTTCCGCGTGAGCATAGCAGTCGCATACAGCTAGACAAACGCCCGCAAACGCGTAAATTCGTCTTCGTTTAATTCGATAACGTTGAGGCAACCGTAAAAAGAAGTTTATCAGGTAATTAAACGAAATAGAAAGAAGGAAATTATCTCTATAGATAGAATTAAACCTGCTTTCTACAAAGACCATCAAGACAAAGAAAACATTACTACAGATAAACAACCTCCACCACTAATTACTACGAGATCGGAGGAAGATGAAAAACCAAGCCGTAATCCTACACGTTTAACACGCTCATGCAGAACTGTAAAGAAGTCTAAGCATTATATTCATTTTTCCGAATAACAAATCAAAACAAACAATCATTGATATATATATTACACTACTAAATTCATTCAGTTTTCTAATAAAAACTACTATTTTTCCATACAACGTGTGTACAATTAGTTATATTTCTCTACGTTTACTCGTTTTATTACTCTTTTTTAAAATTGCCACAATAATAAACGAGTGAATTCTCCATAGCCAAATAGAAATAAACAGTCCAATTTATTTTGTGAGCTTATCAATAGTTATCATTACTGGTATCATCATTATTGACCGTATTTCCATTTTTTTGTTCGGCTCGACTACATTCATGTAACTGTACATTAGTGTGCATGTCATATTCTGTAATTTATATACATCTATCGATACAAAAACTTTTTTCCTGTAAAATGTCATTGCATATCCATATTTTTACGTTCCCTTCGTTGTTATTTTTCCATCCATGTGTTATATTCTTCTCGCAATTTTGTTACATAATAGTGTTACCTCCGAACACTCTGGGGGGAGCTATGTGGGGAGTCACAACGAACTTATTTTTTAATTCGTTTTTGTTACTATTTGCATTCCTTTTGTTAATTCTCATAATTTGTACATTTATTACAAATGACTGTAAAAGTTTTATAAAATTGCACGACCTTGAATACTTCCTCTTTTGTTTTGAATGCCTCAGAGCATGACACACTGATAAACGCTCATAAATACACTGTTACACACACATCTCTTGTTCTCAGTTGCCTGTTGTTATGATAACTGAACTCTAAAACATTTATTATCTACATCTATAGACCAAAGCCATATTCCCATTATATACTCCATCTAGATATACCACTGCAATTATAACAATCTTCACTGAAATTATTAATCACCTATAATTGTGAATTATTATACCAAATGCAATTCGGACACGCCAAGGCCCGACAATTTAAGTAACGTTCCGTAACTTTTCCTTGTGTTTATAAATTATATTTAATATATTAATACATTAATTTTTGGATGCAATAACTTTATTATCATTTCTGAGTTAATATAATTTTTGGTCCACTACATGACACTACGGATCATTGTTGAACAATCGACTGAATGAAACAGCCCTCGTCACTAAATAAAGTCGGATGAGACACTGTTGAACGTTGGACAACTGTTTCATCCTTGTTCTGAATTTTTTATCTCCACTTAGGATAGTATTCAGGAGCTTCAAGTTTTTCAACAAATGCATTAATCTCTATAACATTAGCTTCACGTTCTATGATTTAGTTCCAACTCCAGTCGTCCTGCGATACCAACAGACCATCCCTCAACATCATTGGTAGTAATTGTTGTCTTACCACTGACATAGCTAAACTAAACCAGTCATAACTTCACATTGGAACGACGGGACCTCTCACAATCTAGTATTTTGTAAGCGCATAACTAGTTTTCGGTTGAAAATGAAAATCACTGGATTTTGATCGAATGTTTTATGTATCATAATCCTGTGGAGACCTAGAGCTTCTAGGCACAATATTACCGGAGATTATAGCTGCACATTGCTTAAGAATCTTGTATCAGATCACAACAGACATCGATAACGCCCTAATTTTCCAGGTGATGAACGACCATGATAATACCATCTTTAGAGCGTTTTGCAGTGTAAACTGTTAATCTACCTTTTGTATCGAAAGATAGTCTGCAGAATGTCTTTCTTTTTAATCTCACACTGATATTCAACTATTCAAGATATATTTTCCAAAAACTAAACTAACCGATAATATTTATTATATTTTCAAAACATAAAATCTAACTGTAAAGAAGTTATCAACTTATACACTAACTTGAAGATTTATTGTAGCCCACAGTTTCCAAAATACATCACGCCAATTCCCTGATTCCATAAACCATTGAATTAAAAGTTCTGTACATGAAAAATGTGTTAGTTTTTCAATAACTGTCATTGGTGTTTGCCCATTAGTATTTGATGTGACTAATGAACGACAATGTAAATTCGAAAATGTCATTGATGATTTAGGTGTATGTGAATATTTTGAATATTCATTATCTTCAATACATTGATGAGATGATTCATCTGTTGATATTAATTCGTTTTCACTTGATCCCATAGGGTTATGAACAGGTATCATATCGCCACTTTGACTAATTATAAAACGATTTGGAAGACAAGGTATGATAATTGAAATGTTCCTCGTCAGTAATTTACCACATTTTTGACATCTTTAAAGGTATTTTGATTGGATTAAAATAAATTGATGCAAAATGAATTAGTAGAATTATCTATGTTAGTTAATCATAATAGATAAGCATTTTACTTGTATATGGATTTTCAATGTTAAGACTTCCATCTCTTGTGATCCAGAAAACCTATAGGTTTCTAGATACATACACACGAACGCAAGTTTACATAATGTCTTGTTAGAAATTATATCCAATGAGTATGTAAAAATGTTGAAAAAAAGAGAATCAGATGAGGTGACTGGGAAAACACGCCAAGAAAATACTAAATAGACAATAATTTGGCCATCATAAGACACTAAGACCTAAAACACTGGTGGATCTTTATTAAGGTGTATTACTTACAATTAAAAAAACAATACATAAAATTTTCTAGAGATATTAAGGCAACGATTCTATACAGCAAAAATGTTCTGGAAGGTTTACCAGAGCATTTTTCTAACTTATTAAATAAATCTGTACTTTGTCAGGAAGTGAATTTGTCATATGAGTAGTTGAGGAACAGGATACTTTACTTTCTTATAGTGGGTGAACCACAAATGCAGTTTTAGAAGTGATCACAACGACATTAGTAAGATTTTGAAATATTTGTGAAGTTTTATTCCAAAACCATATGCAAGTGGAATATTGGCGTTTTTCTTACTTATTATCCCCCTACTACACAAATCTAGGTATACATAAATAAAATGCAAATAATTCATCTGACTTTAATAATGAAGCAAATAACCGAAACGTATGGAGCAATAAAGTTCCCTAATTTCGAAAGACGATACATACTCATTATGAGAAAAGCTGATAAATGTTGATTTAGCAGTTCTAGGAAGATGTAGACCTGTTTTAGGACCCTAGTAAGGATAAAAATAAGCTACCTAAAATACTTTGCATCCTGAAAGCTCCCACAGAACTGCTAACATTTATATTTACCCTGAAATTATACCACTGTTAGTTACTTTACCTATGCCGCCTAATTACCACTATATAAATCAAGAAAAATAATATACATGAGCCACAGTTAACTTACCGAAATAGATACGCTGCATTGTTAGGACAGTATGAAGAAGTATACTGAGGATCAAACAAATGTTCAATTTTTTTGAAAAAGATTTTGCTGAAATGATATTTTTTGCCCCAAGTTGAGAATAGAACTACCTTTTTATTTTGTCCTTTTTATCCTTGATCTTATCCAGTTCCTCCAAGTTCAACCCGAGAGCGATGCTAGAATACATTTTAATTAATTACTACTCCTACTACCGTTCAACTAAGCTATCGCCTAAACAATCTAAAGAGAAAGGGCTTGCTATTATAGCTCCAGCATGCTTGCAAAAATATTCTAAACATTCGGAGGTCTTTTCCTTATCTGTCTAAAAATTTATGTTCAACCTACCAAATGTTCCATTTTAAGAAAGTTTGATGAAACTAATAATGCAAGGACATTCGAAGTTGTCAAAATGCATTCTTTATACGCATCAGGATCAATATGTTTCCTAGCATAAAGTAATAGCCACTCGAATATTTTCAAGTCACAGTGAACAAGTATTTCAACTTCGCTTATAAACTGACCATCCTTAATTAAAAAGTCTTTGAAGTACGGCATCTCAATCATAAGAACGTCCAGCTCACATCTGAAATCTTGTTCAACTATACAGTTTCATTTTACGACAACGAAGTTCAGATTTCATATTGTAAAATGAGAGGTTACCTCCTTTAGCCTCATCACAAACTTTGACTGTTACTATTATTGGCTCCTTAATAATGCCATTAACCGGGCACATTAGTATTTAATGGATGGAACTAGATTTCTGATGTGCTTATCTGTTGTGGCAGTCCGCGCCTAGTCAGAATGTACTTTCTTTACAGGGAAAGCATGCAGAAGAGCATGAGGGGGCTGCAACGGAAAAGAACGAAAGAAAATTTAAAACTCGATCCAGAAAACGTGCACAATGCACTTGAGATAGAAAACACTCAGAAATAACACAAACTTCGGATTTAGACAATCTTGGAATAGAAAGTAGGAGCAAATAGTTTAACTTTTTGTATTCGTTAGGATATAAATACATGGCGGGATTGTTCGGTGGTCACCAATAACAACGAAAGGCCAATCAATAAACAACTTAACACCTTAAAGAGATGTGTTAACTAGAAAATTATCTTATACAGACTTTTTAGTCCTACTGTATAGTTTGAAGTTTTTACCAGGCTCCAATAATAATAGGTCACTAACACGTTTGCACTATTCCTAATAATATTCCAATAGTTGGTATTTCTCATATTAATTAAAAGCAATCATCTTACGTCAGTATGATTGCTGGACTAAACAGCGGTTATATTACAAGGCAAGGGAATAGCCCACTGATGTGTGGTTGCGGTACAATGAGAACGCAGAGGAGAGACGAGAAGATGATAATAATAAATAGCCCTTAGTGCGCGCTTTTCGAACAGGAAGTTTAGTCCTAACGTGATTTACATTTCTCAAACTTTTGCTGTGTTCTTACGCAATAAAAGTACCATTTCCGATCTAAATAATCTATTCCAAGTTATACGTTCGGTAGATTACTTTTTGTCTGTTTCATTCAAATTAATATTTAACTGTGTTTTTGCCTCAGCTCACAATCGGTTTTTTTATAGTCTTCACGTAAAGACTAGCTTTTCGTTTATCGGTCACTGTTTTTATCCGCATTCGCCAGTTTTTTTTGTTTTTTTTTTAACGGTCCTAAGTTTACTGCTCGTATTTTTAAGACAGTCTAAATCAATAGCCATGAGAAATTCATGCAAAAGACCTGGTTGCCGTTTCGCTGTTACATCTGGCATGCAATATGACAACTGCAAAGGTTGATCCCACGAAGCGTGTACAGATCTAACAGCAACAGCCTATAGCAGACTCAGAAAGTTTGATCGTAGGTGGGTATGTGTTTGCTGCAACACCTATACCGTAGTTATACAGGGTACCATCATTACTTTATTGACAGGTCTGAAAGACAAGTTTTCTAGAACTTTGGCAAATGACAGTAACACGACGGGGAAAAAACTGGAACGCACAGGGTAAACAAGAAAAGGGATATCGACAGGTCGGCTATCGATGGTGCACGTAAAAGCACTAGTGATGATGTGCTGAAACTCAGCACCATCTAATCATCGACGGTGATCGACTCACTCAGTAAACTTGGGTCCCCCAGGGGAGAGTCCTTGAATGAAACAGTGGTTCCCAAAAACCCTGTGGGTGGATGGACACACTTCAATAGGAGTAAAAATGATCAAGCGCCCCCGCCGAAGCTGAACATTCCAAGTACCGTGCGGAAATCAATAGGTGACTTTGCCGCACAGTCTACCCCAAGACAGTCCGCCCGGTCATCACTGAGCCCATGAATCGAAAACGCTCTTCGACATCCAAACAACAAGGTACCAAACCTAGACGCCCTGGAAAACCTGTGAAATCAATTGCGGATCGTGACGACTATGTCATAATCATGAACCTTATTGACAACCCCGAACATCCTCTCAGCATGCAGGACAAAATGATAGCCAGTCACTTACTGAAGTCCGATGGGAACGTAAGAATACCGCCTGACATACCGTATTCTGGACGAAATCTCACCCGGAACAACCCTAAGGAATATCGCGAGGCGTTTTTCCGTGGAAGAAATATCATTGTGCAGGGTGTACCGGAAAACATGGACCCAACTCAAGCAAACTCTGATATTCGGGAATGGAAATTCATTAAGCATTCCTTAGAACTCAAAAACATTCTGATTCAACAGGTGATGCGACTGGCCAAAAGAGACGGAGACTATAGACAGCGGCTATTGACGATAACTTTCCCCTCCTCCCATATGGCGGCTGCAAATCTGGAAACATTCCGTGCCAAATTTTCGGTTGACAGCTGGCATCCATATGCATCCGGATAGGCCAAACGACAGCAGGATCAGGCACAAAAGCAAGCTAGAGCTGAGTCCCACAGGGCTCAATACTAGGACCTCTTCTCTTCTTGATATACACAAACGATCTTCCTTAACAAGTTTCATCTGACTTATTTCTTTTTGCTGATGATGTGAAACTTTGGAGAGATACGTTACCATAAGGATATACTAGTACTTCAGGAGGATTTGACTCGACTTCAAAGTTAGGCAGACGACAACGGACTTACCTTCAACACTTCAAAGTGCAAAGTAGTCCATCTGAGACATGTTGCAGACTATAGTTACAACTTAGGTAACTCCTCTCTAGTATTTCCTCAAGTCTGTTTTCCTCTATTATCGTTAATATACCAAGGTTCTTGCCTGGAGGTATTGGTGATCCACTGTTACTGGACACGGAAGCCCGTTAAGCGAAAGCTTCTATTCCATCCACAACCGTTTGAATCTATCTTTACTTACAATGCTTGTGAATTAAGACTATATCGAGGTAATAGACACAGTATGCATATACACCAATTAGTGACTGACCAGTTGCAGACCTAAACATCAATGGGAAGATTCAAACAAACAATGCTACGTGGATTCAAACCCAAGGCCACTGGAATTTTAGCAGGTACAGTTTATCTCGACTGCTTTCATCCGTTCTTTTCTGGTAATAAACCTTATTGTTCATTTGAAATTTCACCGGCGTTTGCAATTTCGTTCGTACGGAACAAAATGATTCCTTTATATTTGTGTAAACCAAGTCGCAAAACAACTTGCAGGTACCTGTAGGTACTTTGTTTACATATATGTAAGCATTTAATGGAGTCTGATCCTATCACTTAGGTAAATACAAGTAGTATAGACTGTTCTTATTAGTTGTTTAGTTACCATATCTATTAATTGAAGCTCCCCTTGGAAATATAAAGTAACCTATGGATTTCTCTAATTCGCCTTTTAAGTTTATATATGCGATTGCAAAGCTGTTATTTTATTGCGAACAAAGTTTGGTTTCCAACTTCAACTTCTTTTGTTGATTCAACAAAATACAATCTAATAACCTTTAGAAACAAGGTATTGATCACTGCGCTTAATAAAGGCGAGACTAAAAAACATGGACGACCTTTGAACGAATCTTAAATGACCTTGAGAAATATTAGCCAATCAGAAGACAGTGAGCACACAGTAAAAATATATTATATAAAACTCAAAAATTAAAGGGGATACTGTTCTTTCACATGAATCAAAAACTTATCAAGGTCAGGTGTAGGTTCAGAAGTTCTAAAATCATAATGCATCTGATACAGGAACTCATCCATGTGGCTCCATAGTAGTCGACCTCTGGAAACATGATAAAGTCCCGAAAATTCTTTCAGCCTCGACCACATAGTTTCAGTGTTGGCGGTATGTTGGTATGGTTTAGGGTTTAAGATTAGGGTCATGGTTTAGGGTTAAGGATGAGACTATGAATTATGGACGACGCTAGAGTGAATCTGAGAGTGTCAACGTAATAACTAAGACTGAATGAGGGTTATAAACCCGTGTGAAGAATTCAAATTATGATTTACATTCTTGGTTAAGGTTAGGAATAATACTTGGGGTTTTCATCACGAACTGACATCAGCTATAATGCCACAACTCTATCCAAATGTATAATTGAATTTTGCGCCAAAACCTTATGATAACTTCTTTTGTAGACGCTTAGTTATCATCTTTTCTCTAAAATCCGTTGTAAACCGACCGCACGTAAGCGTCAGGTACCGAACTTAGCGCCGTGACCTTGAAAACCCGCGAAAGCTGATTGGCTCGTTCATGTTCTTTAGTCTCGCCTTAATAAACTGGTAAAAACGAAAATTAGTAAATGATGGTATACTGCTAGTTAAAAGCATTGTATATATAGTCTCTAACTCTGGTTTTAAAAAACAATTCACCATAAACTACATTATCGACTCTATGCTCCCTAATGTTTTTCTCATTAATTTTGATTTTCCAAAATCACAAACAAATGTCATAAGTTTACAAAAACATCCGCGAGGTGTTGATTTTCCAGTGTATTATAAAAATTCAACAACTGTTATTCAATTTTTAGAGGAAATTCAATGTAAAACTTACCCGCTTCTATCACCACTAGGTCGTCCTAACTTTAATAACGATAAAATATGAAAAAGCACTTTAGTGTTTTCAGTCTACATTCAATTTTTATAAGTTGTGATCTCACCCTGCATTTTTTTCAGTAATTGGTTTTGTAGAACTTCACACATCTTCCAGTTATTAGGCATTATCTGTAAATCCTCGTTTTTTATATCAATAAAGCAGAATCAATTGTAGATTCCTTGGAAAATAAGATATTAACTTTTTGGCATTAGACAAAGCATGGTAGGTTACTACTCAATCTTATTTAACAGTGTGACTCGAACCTCGTAATCCTCAACAAGAATAAATATGCATTTGGACAGAATAGATGACGAGTAGGGGGATATATGGTTGTGGCTTATTGTTGTTGTTCTTTCATAAAGCCTCTTAGTCATCAGCTTCTTTGCCCTCAAAAGGAAGGTAAAGTGAAAGCTCTTAAAGTACAAATGAAATAGGTTTCCTCTATTATATTTCGGAACCTCATCAGAAAGCCTATATTCATTAATGTGAGGGGAGAATACTTACTATTTAACAAAATTGGGAATAGATAAGAGTATTGATGAAGTTAATATTCGTGTACTTAAGTAGTATTCCATCCGACTGAATTCTGATCACATCAATTCCAGCTGATGTATTAATGTAGTCTTTTTCATTACACGGAAGCATCGCTTGGCATTTGTTTGAGTTATCCGAAAACGGAAAACTGTCCCTTTTCTGCGGTAAATAATTATGTATTTTACTTAGTATCGGAAACGAATTTTTAGTCTCGGGATTAGTGGTTTAATGTAGCAATCCTTCATGCAGTTTTACACGATCTAAATATTTGAAAGTTCTGTCTAATGTAAGAACCATCCGTAATTCGTAATCCGAATGTCCTTTTGCCATACATAGATAGCCAGTTTCTGGTTATTAACAGTAACTTCCTTTCTTACCTAGTATCGATCACATACCCCCCCAACTTCTATACAAAAAAGATCGTAAACGTGAGTTCAGTTAATGTCCGGCGCTTTAACCGGGTTGGTTGACACGGAAAGTTCACCTAGGGGAGTTGGAAAACCCTGATTCCAAACTAATGGTGCACATGGGCTCCAGTATCCTGAAGGAACAAATGGCGTATAAACCAGCTACCATGGGACTGCATCTCCTCATGATGCTTCACTGCCCTGTGGATGAGATCTTTAGGTCAAAGGCTCGGGGTGTGCCCCCCTGAGAAAACCACCTGCTTCGATCTGGGCAGTATTATAGCCCTCACACAATTAAATGAAATGACAATTTTGTGTGGCGCATATATATCTGATGCCTCATTGAATGTGAGTTCAGCATTAAATACTTGACCTTAAACCGTTTTAATCAAGTGTATTCAACAGATTGCCAAAGGTTTCTAGTTATATGGATGGGCACACATTTGCTTGTATAGCTGATTATAAAGCCAGCTATATGGTAAGCCGATTTTGTCATCTAACGTTGAAATATTTCAATGTCTCATCTGAATCTTTTTCTGCAGTATTTCCAAGTGTCAGGTTAAAAGGTGGCACTTCATAATCATCCTACTGTTAATATTTCGTAATGCATAGGTTATCGTTTCAACGCTTCCCAATAAACCTAGCAGGCTATATTCCTATGTTGAATTGTCGTAGTTGTTTTCCGGTTAGTCAACAAGGTAGGAGGCCTAACTAAATTTTTCAGGGTGACCTTTATGAGCACTGTAGAAAGTTTCTGAATAACATGTGCGCTATGCACTCGTGTTTTTGATAAAAACAGTATATCTGGTAGTTTAAAGTAATTATTCCTTTTGATAAATTTGGAATAGGTAATAAGACGAAATATATTACAACTGTGTGGTATATTAGCCCAATACATTTCAAACAATCTGATCGCGTATATACTTGTTACGAACATTTATATATAAAAACAAAAAATCGGTTAGACAGATAGAGAGTAAGAGAAAACAAAGATAGTAAAGAAAGTGACGTGAAACTCACCACGTTGGATAATAAACTAATACTACCAGGTTAGGTTTAAGGTGAGAACAAACTGTAATTTTTACTTAGATTTATGTCTGGAAGATTCTTACGGGGACTGGATTCTATAAAATTAGTCCCTATTGATTGATATAGTCCTTTAAAAGTCTCAAGTTCTCTGTGTTGTAATACTTTCAGGATTTTTCTAACCAAGTAGATATGGTTTACTCGATTTAACACTTAATACATTTTGTAATGGTAATAATTATAACAGGGCATTTGGGGGCCGAGAGTGGGGAGAGTCCTCTCTCCCTCTCGAAATGCTCTCACATGACCAGCGAATATATAGCCTCTGCCAGGGAAGTCCTACTCATTGCCTTCTCGTGGCGGGGGTGTTGTTTACGAAGGTGAGAGGACGAAAAGCGAATGTCCGGCGCTTTAACCGGGTTGGTGGACACGGAGGGTCCACTTAGGGGAGTTGGAAAACCCTGATTCCAAACCAATGGTGCACATGGGCTCCAGTATCCTGATGGAACGAATGGCGAATGAACCTGTTGTTGGTCAACGGCTACCATAAGCCATCTCCTCACGATGCTCCACTGCCTTGTAGATCAGACCTTTAGGTCAAAGGCTCGGGGAGTGGCCTTCTAAGAAAACTACCTGCCTCGGTTTGGGCACCCGGGCAGTATCACAGCCCACACACAAATGACATGAAATGACGCGCTACACTAACTACACTGCTCTCGTTACTAATAGAAGAAAGACAATTTACATTATTATTATTATTATTTACTACGTCGCTTTTTCACTCCCGTTATTCCCAAATTGTGTATCCTTCCTTTCCAACTTATGCAGTAGCTCGCCCATGTCGGAAACTCTGTCCTATCTAAACGATCTACAGTCACTGTCTGGTTGAAAGTGAATGCTTCCACCGATTATGAATACTGAAGCAGTCTTTCTGAAACCACGTACGCCGTTCAAGCTGGCTTCCTTCAACGTTCGCACACTAATGCATATCAGACAACAGATAGGGCTGGCTATGTCTTTGGAAGGTCTTAATGTTGATGTTTGTTGTCTATCCGAGACCCGTACTCAAGACTCTAGTGAAGTACTACAAATTCGCTCTCCGTCCGTCGCTTCGAAAAGCGTGTTTCACGTGCGCTTATCCGGGGACTCTGTGGCATCTTCGTCCGGTCTTGCAGGCGTTGGTGTTGCACTAAGCTGAGGCAGCACTATTCGATTGGATCCCCATTAGCATTCCGTTGTGTGCTGTTATATTAAAAAGTTCCATCAAAGTGAGAAGAAACCGGCGTGAGAAACGGTGTCTTTTCGTCGTCTCCGCCTATGCCCCCGACAGATTGCAGCCCGGATGCAATCAAGGATGAGTTTTACCACCAGTTGACAGTTCTTCTCCAGAATTGTAGTACTAGCCGGAGACTTGAATGCACAGGTCGGGCGTCTAGGCACAGAAGAGTCGTTTAGGTGGCCGATGGGAACTCGTTGGTCGCAGGACAGATAACGAGGACCGTTTGCTGCAACTGTGAACAGATCACAACCTGTTTTTGGCTAGCACTAACTTCCGGCACAGTCATCACCGGTGTGCCTTCTGGCGTCCTCCCTCTGCATCTCAAGCCTGGACTCAGATTGATCACATCGCGATCAGCTACCACTGGCGTGGTTGTGTACAAGACTGCCGCTCCTTTTGGAGTACCTATCTGGAGTCTGATCATGCCCTGGTCTGCGCCAATCTCACCTTACTTCTCAGTGGCCGAAGGATTGACCACCACCAACGGATCGATGTTAGTAAACTGGCTGCAACTTCTGTTGCAAGTAAGTATCAAGCGGAGCTAACTTCTAGGCTAGCTACCATCCCACCGAAAAGTATAGATGAGCATTGGTTACATCTTTACGACGCCATGAAAATGGCGAGTAAAGCCGCTTGAGGCTTCGCGAAACGTCCCGCTTACAAGCGCTGGGTTTCTTCTGGCTCCTTACAACTGATGGAAGCCCGTATATCTACTTCGGGTGACTGTGATTTTAACCACAAACGAAGGTTGTTACGTAGTGAAATTGAGCAAAGCTTGTGTAAGGACCGATAAGCCTGGTGGTCGGAGCGTGCTAATGAGATGGGAGAATCAGCTGCATCTGGTAATTGCCGGAAGCTCTTCCAATTCATCCGAGCCACTGGCAGCAAGAAGTCTGGTGTGAGTGAAACAATCTGCGAGGGTGACGGGATGCCAATCACTAACATCTCTCGACGTCTTGGACGATGGGCGGAATTTTTCGAAGGGCAGTTCAATTGGCCTGCTGCTCCGGCAACATCAACCAGTTTGTCCTGCCCCCCATGGTGAGGACTGACCCACCAAACGAGGCGGAAGTCCGCAAGGAACTCCAACTCTTGAAACGTTACAAATCACCGGGCCCATGTGACTTACCTCCGGCTCTTTTTAAAGATGCTGGTGACTTTCTGGCTAAGGAACTGACTATGTTGTTTACAAAGGTTTGGTAGCTAGAAAGTGTTCCAACATCATGGAATGAGTCGATAGTCGTCCCTATCTTTAAAAAGGGTTCACGTTGTTCCTGTGATAACTGTCGGGGGATAAGTCTACTTTTGATTGTGTCCAAACTATTGGCTTCTGTCATTCTTCGTAGGTTGTTTAAAACCCGAGAACGATTGACTCGCGAGGAGCAGGCTGGTTTTCGTTCTGGTCGAGGATGCATTGATCACATCTTCACCCTCCGCCAAATGTTAGAACACCGTCATACTTATCACAGGCCAACAATCGTAGTGTTTCTTGATATCAGGGCGGCCTTCGATTCGTTGGACAGGACTGTTCTCTGGGATTGTCTATTGAAGAAGGGTGTGCCTGAGAAGTTCATTAACATCTTAAAGGCCCTGTATACGAACACCTCAGGCAGAGTGAGGGCATACAACCACCTTTCTCCCTTGTTCCATTCGAGCAGTGGGGTTAGACAGGGTTGCCCGATCTCACCATTCCTCTTCAACTTTGCCATCGATGGCATCCTGGAAACAGCTCTGATGATGTAAGTAATGGCGGTGTGGATCTGCTGCCTGGAGAACGACTTCTCGACCTTGAATATGCGAATGATAATTTCTTACTGTGCGATAATGCCCAAGGCATGCAATCCGCACTTAATCAGTTGGCAATCAGTGTCCGCAGGTACGGCATGTGCTTTGCACCCTCCAAGTGCAAAGTACTCCTACAAGAATGGCAGGATTCTCATCCTGTACTCAACCTGGATGGTGAGCAGACTGAAGTAGTTGAGAAGTTCGTGTATCTAGGTAACTACATAAGTGCGGGTGGTGGCGTGAGTGATGAGATTGATGCACGTATAATGAAAGCCAGAGCGGCTTATGCCAATCTGGGCCATCTTTGGCGCCTTCGTGATGTTAGTCTGGCTGTAAAAGGTCGGATCTATAACGCGTCGGTGAGAGCAGTTTTGCTCTATGCTTGTGAAACCTGGCCTCTCCGAGTTGAGGATGTCAGACGACTCTCTGTGTTCGATCATCGTTGTCTCCGAAGGATTGCTGACATACAGTAGCAACACCATGTTAGTAATGCAGAGGTTCGGCATCGTGTGTTCGGGCGCAGAGACGATAATTCAATTGGTGTCACGATCTTGAAATACCGACTTCGGTGGCTTGGACATGTTCTACGAATGTCGTCCCAGAGACTTCCACGTCGTGCATTATTTGCCGACTGTGGGACTGGTTGGATAAAGCGGAGAGGAGCTCAGTGTATGACATGGTGTCGTGGTATGAAAGAAAGCTGCAAAGGGCTAGCTTCTGTTGGTCCTTCACGACTCCCTGGCTGGGGTTCAAGAGATGGTGCAACACAGTGGCTAGAGACGTTATCAGATATGGCTCAGAATAGAAGCCAGTGGCGAACCTGCTGTAGCCTTCTTTTACTTTCTTCATAAAGAGTGGTTCTAACTTTTTAACTGAAAGAGTCTTCTGGTTGTACATTTTAGTCCGCCTTATCTTTTCATCCCTTCTCTTCCTACTTTCATTATTTTGTGTGGCGCATATGTATCTGGTGCCATTTTGTACCTATATATATGTTCAAATAAATAAATAATTAAATCTGGGGATTGGGGGTCAAGAACAAGTGTGAATTCTCACGAAATTTACTTGGTAATGATGCATTACTTTTTGATACTTGCTTTGAAAACGTGTATTCCTATCAACCCTTATTTTTCTTCAGCAAAAAGTATTTGGACTTAACCAAGATATGTCAAGTCTTGATGCGTAAGTCAGTCTTTTCAGTATCATTATTATTACATTCAAGCCCAGCAGATTTGTTTAAAAAATTGGTTAATGTTCTAACCACTTGGCTAAAGACATTAGATGGTGAGTACTATGTGTATCTCTGGATAATTTTTATAAAAATATCAGAATTTACTAAGAAAGAAGAAGAGTTTGCTAATACTTCACAAAATTTTAGTGTCGACCCCAAGTACTGGGCTACAACAAGTGAATTGGCGTACTCAGTGGGGAATATATGCGAATGTTATGTATATATTTCTATTCCTAATATTTATGTTTCGAACTTAGAAAAATACAAACCAACAATCACTCCTGGAACCTTTGAAAAAGTAAGGGTAATTCCCGGATGTATTTTTTTAGAATTTGTGGCACACTACCCTCTATAAACGATATTTTTGTCGAGAGGGAAGAAATTCTGAAAGAAATCAACCGGAAATGTCGAAAAATCAGAAAAACAGAACTCCCAGAGCATGGAAATGAAATCTCAGGAAGGCATAAAAAGGTGACATCAATTTTTCTGCTTATGTCTCCAGATTTCACAATCAGTTGATTCATTAACAAGTCGTTTACATGCTATTGAATACATAATAAACGTCAATTTGGTAGATCTCACTTCAACGTTAGAAGTATTTTTGTCGTCGTCGTTCCATGTAAGTATCTAATTCATTTTCCTTTCACCAGCACTGATAATTTATTTCAAGGAAAGAACATGTTAGAATGTTATGTTTAGTGAAACAATGACTAAATTCATATTTATGTGCCCGGTCACGTATTTTATCTGAAGCCTAATAAATAGTACAAAGTTATTTAGACCAAATAAGGTAAGTCGGGGCTCAGACCTCCGACCAACATATATTTAATATATTAAATTTTAACTTACTAATGTCTGTTACCGCTCGTTGAGAAGTATAGGCCACCCAACAGTATTCTCCATTTAACCCTCTTCTGGGCATTTCTTTACAGTTGTTATTGATCCTTTTCATATCTGTTTCTATTTCCCGACACAACGTGTTTCTTTGTCTTCCTCTTTTCCCTTCCCCTTCAGGGTTCCAAATTAGCACTTGCCTCGTGATGCAGTTTGGTGATTTCTGAAATGTATGTCCTGTCCACTTCCAACGTCTTTTCCTAATTTCCTCTCTATCTGGAAACGGTTGTTTTCCGCCATAGTAGACTGTTACTGATAGTATCCGACCAACGGACATTCAGTATCTTACGTAGATAATTGTCTACAAATACTTGTACCATTTTGCCGATGGTTGTGGTAGTTCTCTAAGTTTCAGCTCCCTACAGTAGAACTGTCTTGACGTTCGGATTGGAGATTCTGACTTTGATGTTGGTTGATTTGTTGTGAGTTCCATATGCTCTTCAACTGTGGGGATGCGGCCCTTGCTTTGACAATCCTCGCCTTTACATCTGCATCAGAAATTTTAACAGGTGAACATAAATCTCTTGAACATAAGTGGTTTATGTTCGTCGGATATTAGTAAAACTTTGTTTTTCTATATGTTTAGATTTAATTTTAGAACGTTCTGTAAATGAATAAAATATGACCAGCAAACTATTACGAAATCATTGATTTCTTAGATAAGAACACTACGTCTTTATGACAGTGAAGGGTTTTATCGAATAATCAAAATGTTTAGTTGCTCACCTCATAACAATAATTCACTGTGTTGCGTGTTAATAGAGGAATTGAAGGCAGTTTGAAGAGGGAGATAACCGATTATCTTAGTTTGGCAGATACAAATACGATTGCATTGGTGTATATGATATCATGAAGAAGAAATTTATTGGTGGAACTGCCTTTAATAATTCTGTGTGACCTCATAGGCCCAGAGTGAACATCAACTCTGAGATGCAGGTACATCCATCCGACGAGTCCCAAGTGGGGCGAAACGCGCGTCCCGGATTCCACTGCTAGCTACTATCCATCTTTGCTTACAATGCTTGTGAATTAAGACTATATCAAGGCAATAGGCACAGTATGCACATACGCCAATTAGAGACTGACCAGTTGCAGTCCCAAACATCAATGGGAAGATTCAAGCAAACAATACTAATTGGATTTAGGCTTTGCTACTGTTTAGATTCGATAGAATCATAAAATCGGAACCTCCATTATTCCCGGTGAACCAATACATTCAATGTATTTTGCACATGGAGTTGAATGACAAGAATAGAAAGAGAGGGGTTCAATGTCTGAATATCATGATCGTTAGAGCTAGTTGCAATATACTTTCTAAGCATTAAGGGATGAATAATTTTTCGGATTCAAGTTATTTTAATGCTTTTTCTGTTAAACTATCCTAAACCTGTTAACTTAATACTTTTGAAACTACACGAATATCCGATCGTGTTTTTTATTTGAATATCCATATAAGAAGTTGGTCATTTGTTGATTAACTTCGTACAGAACTAATAAATTAAGGAATATTGGTTCATCGAAGAGTCCATCATGGCAAATTCATTTTCTAAGCTATACAGTTGCAAATATATACTTATTGTTCAAAATGACAATAATAACAGTGTAATAGTGATAATAAAATTTTGCTAAACTTTATCAATGACGTTTAATAAGTAAAGGCATCAAGACATTTTCTTTTTTTAACAGCCATCTGGTTCCCTTTTATTTTCTCTATAGACTTAACCCCGACTGATATATCGCTGTTTCTACACTCCTCCTGATTACAGTTCATCTAAATTTCAAGTTTTTCGTCATATCACTTTTCAATTCTAATTCCCCTATTTATCCTCATGTTGAATATTCAAGCTCTCAACAACATTATTATCAGTTACTTACTTACTTACACCTCGTGGAGGAGCATAGGCCGCTCATCAGTTACCTAAGTAAAAATGATATTTTTATGCCTTCATTAGTTTTACTTCACTGTTACCATGTTTAGCAGGATTTTATTATTATTCTTACTGTTATTATTATCATTTTGAGAAATAGGTATTTATTTGTGACTGTACAGCTTTGAATACAAATTCGCCGTGAAGAGAAATCTCTGAACCAATCGTTTTGATTTTGTCTTAATGTGTATGTTCCGTTTACAAAATTAATACACCAAAAGACATTATAGCCTAAAATGATTATTTTATTAGCGACACACTCTTTAAATAAGATAACCTGACCTGTATTTTTGTAGTTTGTAGAAATAAGTAGTGTAGCTTCTTATTTTCTAATTAAAGTAAGAAATTATCGAAATCCAAACAATCGTATTAAATATTGCTGTATTTATATATGACAAAACGTTTTACACATTGGGAATATAAAAAATCCCCTACGAAAATATAGTAATAATATTGTGAATAAATAAGCATACCATGGGTAGGTAATATAATCGACCAAGAAATGAACAGAAGTAATATTTAAAATGATAAACAGTTAAGAAATACAATTTAAAAAATCCACTCAGTTAAGGTAGTTTATATATATATATATACTCAGTCCCAGTATCGACAAAAAGGGTACAGTATGGCAGTCGGTGGGGTGACATTCATAAAACATAGCTAAATCGCCGAAGTCAGTGTTTTAAGCTGGTGACACTAATTGAATCGTCATCACTGTGCCTGAGCACAAACTGCTGGGCCTATGTATTACTAACATATTGTTGTCACTAGATGTGTACAATTCTTCGAAAAGGAATGATCGAACACACAGTTGGCGAATTTCTTGAACTTGAAGGAATCATGTTTCACATTGATAGACTAAAACTACTCTCATTAACACATCGTAAACCAGACGGCTAAAATAACATCACACTAACGCTAAAGATAGCTCGCAAGGTCATAAACTGTTCTGGCTCTCACTGTGCCTACATGCACGAACTTTACAACTATTTTTAGTGGTTCACCATAAAAAGTGTAGTTGCAGGCTTCTATAAGTCTTGTGGGTTTACTATAGATTTTGAAGATTCATATTATATTCTGTACCTAAGAACACTGATCAAGTTACGTAGCATGTGTATCATAATACAGTGAGATGTTTTCCGGGTGATCAAAGTGGAAAAGTCTTTCCTCACTCAGTAGATATACATTACGTACTTTCTGTTTTGAGTTCTAGTTTGATTGAAGTTAGGAAAAATATAGATCGCCGGTTTCTAACTTTAAATGAGTACAGTGGTAACATACATGTTACCTAGACCACTTAACAGTGATAAGCGCAAACCTGTGTGTAGAACTTGCATTGATCACTACTAACTCATAAAATAAAGTGAAATACCTGTCCAGTATTTTCTGACATTCAATTATTCCCTATATAGTATTAGTTCAAAAGGTAAAGTAGTTTTGGATTTAATATGACTCGTTTCTCACGACAGATAGATAATGTCAGTACTAGAAATCGACACATGCATATCGAGTCGTTCTTAATGCTGATTGAGTGATATTGACCAACTTGCAGCATTGTGATACCGTATGCACTATGTTGAGTTGTACGATATTTCGAGTCACATAGACTAGTGACCACGCTGCAACCTGATCATTAGAATTGTGTCAGCGCTAAGAACTCATTAATCAATCAATTTTCAATATATGTGCATTCTTTTGTTAGACTTATTTTCATAACCATTACCTCAATTGTTTTTTTTTTCGAATATATAAATACTAGGCTCATCTCGACTGTACTTACGAATTTTTTCAAAAAGCATCGATAGTCAATCAACAAATGTCGGATTTATTGAATACCGGTCAAAATGAACTCAGTCTGTTAGATAAAAAAATGGATGAGGATATGAACTCCATATACAAGCTCCTACATCTGAAACCTGAAAAATAATAGGCTCTTGATTTGTTGATATTTTATTGGTTCATCATATTGTTCAGTCCTATTTTCCTCAGAATTTTATTGGTATAGTGCAATTTAATTTTTCTTTATTGAATACAATTATTTTGAAAGAGGGAAATTGTTTTCTGCTTCATAACTTATCTCACTAATTTTTTAACTGCAGTTTTCTCTTAAACTGGTGGATAACCACATAGCATATGACTTTTGTTAACTTGTTGAACAGACTGCAGTTCAGATTACTACTTCAAATGGACATGAACATATAGGCTATGTAGTATAGCATAAAAAATATATAATTCATCATCCTAAACTCAGGATGAGAACACCTTATTGTCCTATTTACTTGGTAACCAAGTTATGCAATATATTACTGACGCCTGTTACCCCAGTTGCTATACGTTTTTTTCGTGTCTGTTTCCGATTCCCGATGCAACGTGTTTCTTGGTCTTCCACTTTTTCCTCCCTCTCCAGGGTTCCAAATTAGCACTTGCCTCGTGATGCAGTTTGGTGATTTCTGAAATGTATGTCCTGTCCACTTCCAACGTCTTTTCCTAATTTCCTCTCTATCTGGAAACGGTTGTTTTCCGCCATAGTAGACTGTTACTGATAGTATCCGACCAACGGACATTCAGTATCTTACGTAGATAATTGTCTACAAATACTTGTACCATTTTGCCGATGGTTGTGGTAGTTCTCTAAGTTTCAGCTCCCTACAGTAGAACTGTCTTGACGTTAGGATTGGAGATTCTGACTTTGATGTTGGTTGATTTGTTGTGAGTTCCATATGCTCTTCAACTGTGGGGATGCGGCCCTTGCTTTGACAATCCTCGCCTTTACATCTGCATCAGATTCTACTTGTTAATCAATGCTTCACAGGTACGTGTAAGACTCCACCTCTTCCAGAGCTTCTTGATCAAGTGTGATTGGGTTGGTGTTCTCCGTGTTGTATTTGAGAATCTTGGTTTTTCTCTTGTGTATTTATGAGGTCTACTGCTGCTACACTAATTATTTTCATCTGCATATGTTCGTGTGTTTGAGATAGAGAGGCCATGTTAACTGCGAGGTCCAAATCTTCTAATTGATTGACTCTCTTTGAAAGTAGTCAATATATCAACATTAAAGGAGTATTGAGAACGAAGTCCGTTCATAATAATAAGCTCGAGTCTTTAGTCATGTCACACCCCTGAAACTGATTACGTACGTATGTCTAATGACTGTTGTTGTCACCGCCTAGGCTGAAATTCTCAGTTACTCAAACCCGTCAGCATTTAGATTGGAGTTGGCGGAAAATAAGTAGGCGACGACATTAAAAATCCCAATCCGAAGAAAACATTATCATACTTTAAGTTTGTACAATATGGACTCTCAGTCACAACGCAGAACTTTGTAATACGTACATCAGTACGAGTTGCCATACCACATTAGCACAGAGATGCACTTGTCGATTCAAATCCCATAATGGTAGAGGTAGCAAGAGTATAAGCAGTAATCAGAAAGATAAGGGTTTGAAGACGTTATTCTAGAGGTATAATCCAGCGGAATAAATTCGGAAAAATAGAGGGACATGAAGAATTTAGTAGAACAAAAAGAGTAGATGCACCTTCATCATTGCAAAAGATTTTGAGCCATGTCATTCTAGCTCTCTAACCATCCATTGCTATCATCTCGTGGATCCCAACTAGGAAGTCTACACCCTAAATGCCCTGGTACGGCTGAGAGAGCGGAGGGGCCACTCTCTCGAAATGCTCTCACACGGCCACTCGTATATAGCCTCTGCCAGGAAAGTCCTACTCACTGCCTACTGTTGTTTACGAATTTCAGAGGACGAAAAGCGAATGTCCGGCGCTCTATCCGAGTTGGTGGACACGGATAGTCCACCTAGTGGAGTTGGAAAACCCTGATTCCATACCAATGGTGCACATGTGCTCCAGTATCCTGATGGAACAAATGTTGTATGAACCAAACGTCGGTCACCGGCTACCATGAGCCATCTCCTCACGATGCTCCACTGCCTTGTGGATCAGACCTTTAGGTCAAAGGCTCGGGGCGTAGCCCCCTAAGAAGACCACCTGCTTCGGTTTGGGCACCCAGGCAGTATCACAGCCCACACACAAATGAATGAAATGATGACTTCTACTGACATTCCTATTAACGCGCCTAATATTGATGTTTGCTGTCTATCCGAGACCCGTATTCAAGACTCTAGGTGCACTAAGCGCTAGAGCTGAGGCAGCACTAATCGATTGGATCCCCATTAACAGTCCGTTGTGTGCTGTTAGATTAAAAAGTTCCATCAAACTGAGAAGAAACCGGCGTGAGAAACGGTGTCTTTTCGTCGTCTGCGCCTATGCCCCCGACAGATTGCAGCCCGGATGCAATCAAGGATGAGTTTTACCACCAGTTGACAGTTCTTCTCCAGAAAGCGCGTTCGACAGATATTGTAGTACTAGCCGGAGACTTGAATGCACAGGTCGGGCGTCTAGGCACAGAAGAGTCGTTTAGGTGGCCGATGGGAACTCGTTGGTCGCAGGACAGATAACGGGGACCGTCGTTAACTTGTTCGGTAATTCATATGCCCATAAATCGAATAATCCCACTAACTCATTATCCAGAAAATCAAATGGTCCCACAAAATATACTAGCGAGCGAAATTATTTCCTAGGTACGTCTACACCACAACTGATAAGAAAGACTTTGAGTGGTCAGTTAAACATCCACCAAGCAAGACATGGAATAGTAAATCGAGGGAACAACTTCGTCAAAAAAAATTTACAGAATCAAAAGATAAAAAGAACTGAAAATAATGTATCTCGAATGTAGAACTAAACGGGGAATTCTCATTCTTGCAAATTATCTATATATCTCTTTCGACAGTTTCGCATGTCAGTGCCCATGGGCTTACACATCGGCCCTAAACCTCATGACTGTAAGCATCTATCAATTTACAAGGTAAGCAAGCAGTACTTGCCGTGTTGACTGAAAACCTACAAACAACCATTGCAAACTACGCCTACTTTTGTTTTGAAAACCGTTTGGTAAACGGTGTGTGTTGTCAAGTCTCCAGTAGACTGCATAGCAAAGACTAGGAATGCTGGAGAAACAATACATCCGTTGCTGCATTGATGCGTAGAGTGACGAGCGTGTGCGTGATGACGACGCCGCCAGACCATGTAAGTGGTCGAAATAGTCCGGATTCCATGTTTATGCTACAGCCATCGAAACAGCAGTCTACACTTGCCCGAGGATCATATTTTGAACCCAGTAGTTAATGACATAACTATCAATGCTTTAGCAGTCAAGATGAACCTTGGTACAGCAAGAGACAGTTACAAAGCCACCTTAATTAAGAACCCTTGTGTGAGGGTTGATTTTGGTATTAAACAGTCGTGAACTTATCGTTCTCGTTTACCCTCACGATGGACAAGGAGGTCGCCTTCTAGTCATACGCTTATTACGCAGGATGGATAGAGAACGACCATTTTTCAGACAAACTTCTCAACAGAGTCACATCGAACGGTATGGATGACCCGACTCATTTGACAAACCAACATACACACCTTAAAGCTTACTTATCTATGTTAAGTACCAACGCGTTGCCTTAATGTCTGTCAATGCATTACGGTCAGGTGTCTAGCCATGAGAGAAATTGCATTAACTTATCGAGACAGATAGAATAAACGCACTTTTATTCACTGCTTAATTGCACATCACACTGGACCATACAACGACGTACAGTTGCATCATATCAGGAAACGGTGACCAAGGTTGTCATTGAGAAGTAAAAAAATGCACCCGATTTTAATTGTATTTAGTACAATCTGTGCGGTCTACCCATTGTACTTTTGATGTACAAACATCTGACGTTCTGCCAATTCTTTTTAAGTAGCGTTACGAGAAAGTTTATTGACAAGTTGATGTTTTGAGCTAGCTCCTCAGGAGTCATCTTCACGTGACCAACAGCGACATTCAGACAAAGGACCTTCTTCATCTGGAATTTGACTGTAGCTTTTATTTCGTCGATCTTATTGACTAGTGGCTCGTTGTGTGTGACCGCACTCGGAAACTTCCCGAACTTGGTCAGCACTGGAACCACTGTTCTTGTAAACTGACGAATAACGGTTTCACTAGCCACAAAAGCGTGGTAACTCTTGGCTGCCAACATTAGTGCAAAATGTCAACTTACCGAGTTTTTTCAACGGCTTCTTTTCTTTGCTGATTTTCTTCAATTCTTCGGCATCCATACATGGAAAACCTGCTGCTTTGGCCTCGTCACAGTGTTGTTCATCCCCAAGCACACACACAGACATTTTGGGACGTGGAATGTGCTTTAGTCTATAATAAGATCCGACTTGTAATATGCGGCGATTAGCCTCCCCACACAATTTTAGAACCCTGGGTAGGGGTTCATAAACTTACCGCACAGTCCCAGTGAATCTTTTGTCCTTCTGAACATCATAGTTCTTCAACGCTATTTGTAGCTCAACAGTCTCGGTGAACTTTCGTTTTCTTACTTTGTTGCTGTAATCAAGAATATCAGCACATGACCGCAGCAGAAGATCCTTCGGTACTTTACTAAAAAAGAAAGACTGTCAGTTGTCGAAATTTAATATTTTAATGTCAGAACTTCTTAGAGGGATACAATCACCAGTCTTTAGGAAGCTGTCATCATGAAACCAACGCTCACCTCATGACCACGCCTGAACTACTGAATGACGCTCGACACTCAGATAATTAGGTGTTCAAACAAACTTCAACCTTCAACATCTTCACTCTTCATAGTCCCACGTCACATAAATAGCTATCCGGGATCCCACCCAGTTGTTTATTCAATCCCTGAAGTGAGATTTGGACATGGTGAAGCAATCTCTTTCGGTTGTCCTCACACACCACTGTGAAGATGTCATCAACATTCCACACCTTCCCCCACTGGTGAATAGTGGCCATGTCATACTTTCCTTTAAGTTCCGGATACGTGGTATAGAACTTGCATTTGTTCCACCCCTTCTCAATATCTCGATTGACTGATCGGTCGATACTGATGGATCGATTGATGATGAGTGGAATAGGTTTAAGTCTATATTTGAATCCGTAACTCAACTGTGTGTCCCATGGTCAGCACGTAAGCTATCACATCGCCCCCCATGGATTAATAAGGAAACCCGGAATCTGTTGAAGCGTAGGAAACACTTCTGTGACTTATTCTTGTCAACAGGTCAAGCATCATTTAAGTGCGAATATAAAAAAACCTGGAATATATGTAACAAGACCATAGCTAAATCCCGTTCTGCTTACGAACGACAGTTGACATACGATAGCCGTACCTGTCCGAAGCGACTGTTTTCGTATGTTAAAAGGCAGACGAAACGTAATGATGGTATCCCCCATTAATGTTAAACGAAAATTCAGATTTATTGGCTGAATCTGATCTAGCGAGAGCTGAGACATTTACAAACTATTTCAGTGAAGTCTACTCTACGTATAGCGTTACAACTACTTATCCCAGTGACAACGAGATACCAGCCATAGGACCTATACACGTGACCGAGGATATCGTTCTTACATTGATAACTAACCTCAAACCTTGTAAGGTACCGGGCCCCGATGGGTTACATCCACGTTTGCTGTCATCGCTTGCGGACATTATCTCAAGACCGCTCACGACGCTCTTCAACATGTCCCTTTCACTCGCTCAACTACCTAGAGACTGGAAAGACGCCATAGTTAGTTAGATCGTATCTAACCACCGGCCTGTCAGCCTGACCAGCACAGTAGTTAAGTTACTTGAAAAACTAATTCGGGCTAAGCTACTTAGTCATATAGATTCGTATAATCTGTTAACTCCCGAGAAACATGGGTTCCGTAACAAGCGTTCATGCTTAACTAACTTATTCATTGCGAGAGAGGATTGGACAGCTGCCCTAGACAACGGCCTGTCTGTCGACGTGATATTCATAGATTTTAGCAAAGCGTTTGACAAGGTTTCACACTTGGGTTTTATGCAAAAGCTCTCGAGCTTTGGAATAACAGGTGCTATACATGAATGGATAGGGAGCTTCTTATCTGGAGAACAATAAGAAGTGAGACTGATCGTTATCATCTGCGATCTGATTTAGATGAATTACTTAGATGGGCTCATGATTGTGGCTTGAAAGTCAATTCCAGGAAGAGCTTGTTCATACACATCGAGCACGATGTTAGTTACCACTATACCATTAATGGTACATCTGTTCCACGCGTCCAAGAACATAAAGACTTAGGAGTAACTATAAGTTACGACTTGAAAACTACCACGCACTGCAATGCGGCTGCTTCCAAAGGTTATCGTGCTCTATGGTCATTTCGCCGAGCATTTAAATGCTTTGACGAGATGTTTCAAATTTTATATCCCACCTATGTAAGGCCACACCCAGAATACTGTATCCGAGCAGCTAGCCCTTGTCTGATAAAGGATACTAAATCACTTGAGCGTGTCCAGCGTGTGGGGACAAAATTAGTGAAGGGTGTTTCCAAAGTCCCTTACGATGAGCGTTTGAAACGTCTAAACCTTTTCCCCTTGTCTTATCGTAGGACACGAGGTGACCTTATGATGGTATTTCGTATATTTAATCATTATTAGGTTGTAAATATGTCTTATCTTTTTGCTCCCTCCAGCACTGATAATCTCCGAGGTCATAGGAAGAAGATTCAGAAACCGCGATTTAGTAAACTAAAGGTGGGGTCCCGTTTTTCCCATCGAGTGGTCAATGACTGGAACGCATTACCAGAACAAGTGGTATCAGCCCCATCAGTGAACATTTTCAAGAAGAAATTGGACCATCACTGGAAGGGAATCTGTCAGGATTAACATAGGTTCATCAACCCACTATCTTTATTACTGAAGACTGAAGACTGATCGACTTCCACCTCTGATTTGTGAAGTACACTTAGAGCCTCAGACCTCAGTCTTCAAGAGTAACTGTAGGGCCAGCAAAATATCACTGAGCCATAACCAGATCACTTATCATCTTGAAGCGTTCCTATGTTAGACGTCAAATCGGTTGACCTCGAACAGTTTGCCGAATGTTATCAAAGTCGGAAATGGATAATGCGCATCAATCGGTTGCATTCAGTGGACCGGCTCACGTAGCAGAGTTTCCATACTTCGTGCTTCTACAATCTGTCCTATCTAATGCAGCACCTTGTGTTGGCAGGATTCAATTAGTTCTATGCAGTCACCAAAGTAGCCTCATTGTCTAGATATCACAACAGAGTAATGCAAATTAGGTACTAACCACTAGGTTTGATCTCAACGTAAATTAGGTCATCACACTGCTCTCGTTCATTTCTAGTAAGCCCATCACTAACATTGATCCACGTAAGGATAGTAGGTCAAATGACTTGTGCTAAACCTCGCGACATATAGCATTGTGAAGATCCGAGCTGACTTTGCATGCTTCAACAGAAGATAGTGACAGTGTGTGTCCAGGTGAAGAATTACGGTAATCTGATACTCGATGAGAGGAACGATACTCATGACGTAGATAGGAAAAGGAAGAAACCCTTGATATAGAATCTAGGCAGATTCGATATACGTAGATAATTTAATGTTCCTATTTACTAACACAGAACAAGTATGAACGACTATATGTGTATCGCTGAATGAGTAATAAAAATAATACAAAACAAAATAAGCTAATTGGCAAAAAATTAATAATTCGGTAAGATATGACTTTAGAATAAATGTTTGTGCAGTTATAGTTTCGAGTGATGCTACGAAAGTCTCGAATAAGTGCAAAGGATGATCAATATATATGAGTCCTTTGTGCATAGAGAAGATAAAACGAATCTGAGAACTTGATTTAAGCGTAACACTAGTCATTGTCCTTATTACCAACTTCGTAATCTTCAGAAATTTATTTACTTAGGAGGAAAAAAGAGAGGAAAGAAATGAAAACCTAGTGAAAGGGTCCAACCATGGTGATAATATTGTAGTGAATATCGACCTCTGAGGTAAACCAACAATTAAAAAATCCTTTAGTGCACTCGGATAAATGCATGTGGATTTTTGTAACAGTATACAGAGTGATACCGGATGTTAGTATAAATGTTTGTGTAATAATAATTTAGAATGATGCTATGATAGTCACGACTGACTGCAAAGGATAATCAAATATAAATTTCAGTGTGTTATATATGTGTGGTGAAATTAAAATGAATCTGAGAAGCTAATTTTTTAAACGTAACATAAGGTAATTATTTTTGTTTTTAGTTATAGACTTTGGATGCTTAAGAATAAAATATATTCAGAAGGGCAAAAAGAGATGAAAAGAACATGTAATGTGTCGAGGAACCAATAATGATATTAATAACAGTAATAATTATAAAGTAAGAACATAAGCAGACTTCATATATTGAGATGAGTAAAAATAAAATAAAATAAACTTGAAAAGTTTCAGAGGTTTCATTTTGTTTTTCAGTCGATTAAATCCGTAGCGAACCTTGTTTGTATAAATCATTGATAAACACGTTGATATTCAATAGGTGACACAACCCACTTTCGGAAAGTCATCAAGGAAACTTCGGAACCGGGTTGTAGTTTCAGTGCAACGGAGTTTCACTGGCAGTCTGTTCCAATTGGTTGAGTAGCAAATAACGAAAAAAATTCTGGCATACGTTTGCGTGGGTTCTTGAATTCGCTAGAATATTTTCCTTATTGCGTAGAGTGTGGGATGATATCATAAAGTATGAAGGGTTGGATACTGAGAAGTAGGGAATACCGTCAATAAGTCGGTAGATAAAGATAAGTTTTAACTTGATACGCCTGGTCCAGAGACGTTCTAATGTGAGTTGTTGACGCCCTTGATGATAGGTTTTGTTGTCATAATACCCGAAACAGCTTTGGTGAACCTCCTTTGAACACCATCACTTTTAATCAGGCCATCAGACTTGTAATCACTGTAAGATAGAATACCATATTCAAGAATGGGTAAGATGCATTTTCTGCATAATAATAATCTACGTTTAGTATTATCGAAGTCTATCATTATGAATCCAATGACCTTTCTAACTTTGAATACTTTAGATGCAATGTACTCAGAAAAGTTCAAACTGTTGCTCTATCTTAAACCCAAGTCACGAACAGTGTTGAGAGGTTTTAGTGTATGTTTGTGTATAGCCAGATAATAATAATAATGACAACAGATTTAGGTTAAGGTAGTGGCAAATGTGAATAAATCCACTTTTGTCAACATTAAGTAGCAAATTCTACGGAACAGTCCATTTGCAAAACTTGTTTATATTTCTTCTTGGATTACAATTGAAATATAGCTTTCTTTGGTGGGAGAAGAAAATGAACAAACCACTTTTAGATCATCGGTAAAAAGTAAAGATTTTCCATACTGAACGAAGGAACATACGCAAATGATGAGAAAGAGAAGGAGTAATGGACCTAGGACTTGAACCCCTCTACAAAAGGTGCAGATCCTCTTTGATTCTCTATTTTAAGCTACTCAAGAATCTTACTTGGTCCACTTGCAGCGTAGTTCTTATCCAAGTCCCACATATATACGATCTTCGAGACAAATTGTCCACGGTCAAAGTTGAATAATGAGGATCAAAAACTCGGGAAAACGTCTTCCTCATCAAGTATGTATCAATATGAAACAGTCCTGCCTCCAAAATACGCATGACAGATAGATTACATACGTTTG